TATAATTAAACATAAAGAAAAAACGAATTTCATTGATTTTAGATTTATCTTTATCTAAAACTATTTTATATTGGGTTATAAAGTCTTTATTTTGAAAAATAATTATATTTGTTAACATATAATTAATTCTAAATTAAAAAATGAATCTCATGAATTTGATAATTATCTTTACCTAACTTTTTTATATTGTGTTATAAAGTCTTTATTAACGTTGAAAAGTAATTCTATTTGTTAATATATAGTTAATTATGAAAAATCAATTCGCAAAGAATTTATGTATAGATAATTTATATTGTGTTATCCAAAACATTATTAAAGATAATTTTTTATATTTTTTTGTTATGTCTAAAAATGATATTAATTTATTACTAAATGTTTTAAGTTCATGATATTTTCAAATATAAGTTGTGTAATGAAAATTATTTATATGATGATGAAAATTTTTATATATAAAAAGAATTTGTTTAGTTTATTATTAAATATTTTGAGTCTATGAACTATAATTTATTATAATTTACATAAATTGATTATATATTTATTTATAGATATTAGTAAAATTATTAAGCCCGCAAGTGCGGGCAAAACACCTAATATGCAATATTTAAACTGTAATTGTCAACTTTCGATACAATAAATTCAGGTACTAGCTGATAGAAAAGGTATTCCGAAAATCACATCTATTTAACCTGGTTTAGTCTACATGAAAAAAATAAAGTTTAATTATTTTTAAAACAAGCTTTTCATGACCAGGTATCATCGTATCTGCTAGGACTACTCTCTACAAGTTCTTTCTTTGAGACATATTCATTCCTATCTTGTTGTACCATAATAGTGAATAGTACACTAGTATATGAAATCCACCTTCTGTGGTTGTGTTGCATCTAAATTGATTTCACATGTATTTCGACGCCCAAAGAAAAAAAGAAAATTTTGATCTACCTTATGGTCTTCTTCCTAACTTATACAGCAAAAAAAAAGAAGGCCTGAGATTGCAATAGATAAGAAGTAGAAAACCATCTACTGCATGTATTGATTCTTTGGCAAGAAATAATTTATTGGTTCAAGTTCAGTAATCGGTTTTCTCTCGACTTAAAAGAAGAAGACATCATTTTTGTTCAAAGGCCAAATTATTACAGGCTCATAAAAGGCCATGAAGAGTTGCAGATAAGTAGACGCCAATTTTGGCCTTTGGTTCTAGAGTCTTAACTGATTGACAGGACAGCGAATGCATGATCGACTGTATTTGTACGAAACCAAACAAGAGCATGATGTTATGTCTCTTTAATATCTTAAACATTTGTTACAATACTGTGAATTATACCGGTTTAACCAACATGTTATTACGTATTAGGTCTAATAAACTGCCACAAACAAGTAAAAACTAAAATTTTGAAAATAATATTTGGTAATATACCCGTGAGATCTTGTGGCCAAATGGTGAAAAAAGAAGAGATTTGAAACACCAACACGATTTAACTATTACATTAAATTAAATATTTCAATGACATTATTCATGAATGGATATAGATTTTTGTTTTGGTCCATTTACAAATTCAAAAGAGAATCTCTCTGTAAACAACTCTTCTAATAATAGATTAATATGTACCACTTATAGATCTAAAATATTATATATTAATCAATATTCGTCATTCTGTATATTATATTTGTATAAATATATATATTATTATTTTTGTACCCACACTATGGATTAATATGTAAGTTTTATTAAATATATTTTAGTTGAAGATACAGCATCATATCAGTTTATAATTCATTAATGAAAACATGTACACTGGTGTCCATTGCCTTGATTACTACAACTGCAACGAGGATAGCATGGGTCTTGAATTTCGGATACGCATTGACTGGAAGCCTTATTTCCATCTGGATTGCATGGTCCGTTGCCAAGGTAAACAAGTTCTGGCGCACACTTTTTTGCCTCCACTATTTTATATCAACAACAAAATATTAACCGGTTAGATAATAAAACTGATAATGCAAAAAAATACAAGTTTGTATAAAACATATACCATCAAAATGTTTTCTAACAACCATATATATATGTTACCTTTTGAATTATGCAGCACGAAAAACATGAGAACACAAGAAACCACAATCAAAGTAGCAGATTTCATGATGCAAAATTTTGATAAATGACTTGTATGTTTCTTGTGAATTGTTTTGTTTATTTCGTACTGAATATTTTCTCATCACCATTGCTTGTATATATATATGAAAAACACACAAAGACATTTTGAGTTCTTACTCAATTAAAAGGCAATAAAATCATATTTGACCAAAATAATTAATTTGGATAATAAATTATACTCCTTTTTCATATTGAGTGTCATTGTAAAGAATTTTTTTTGTTACAAAAGAACTGTTGTTTTCTACTTTCAATCCAAAATTTATTAATGTTATATTGTAATTTATTTTTCTATTGATTGAAATATAATTAGGTGTATAAATAATTATGTTTTTATATAGAAAATATAGAAAATTAATTAATTTCACAATCTGTGTACACAAAGTTAAAGTGACACTTAATATAAAACAAATGGAGTATTTGTCTTGAAAGTAATCTAGATTTGCATATCTATACATATTAATTCTACATTTTCTCTTTTTGAACTCTTACTCAATTAAAAGGTAATAAAATCATATTTGACCAAAATAACCAATTTGGGTAATAGATCATATTTGCCTTGAAAGTAATCTAGACTTGCACATCTATACATATTAATTCTGCTTTTTCTCCTTTTATGCATCCATATCTGCATTTAATATTTACAATTTGGCTTTATTTGTATATATCCCCTATATATTAATTGAGAAACATTACAACATGTTTTGGTAGCCATGTGTCATCATGAGAATGTTTTTCAAATTTAGTAGAAAAAAATGTTGGTTCATATAAACATATAATATATATTTATTAAACTAAGCATAAAACTATTATAATATTAATCATTACTTCCTTACATAAAATTTACGGAATTACCTAATATGGTTATAATATATATATATATATATATATATATATATGATAATTAATGATTTGTATATGAAAGATTTGATAAAAAATTATATAGCTTCTACTCAAATTTTAATTATATTGTGAAAATAAATTAAACAATAACAGTAACTGTATAAAAAAAATCAAATTTTTTATATATGTTATATTTGAAATTTCAAAAACGACTATAAATTAATAAAAAATTATAAATTTCACATATAATATTTTTGATTAATAGTTTAAACTTTTTTGTTATAGCACGATACAAACAATTATATAATTAATGACTAAAAAATAGCATTTAATAGATATTCAAATGCAGCATCTTCAAGAGAGGTGACGTGAAGCAGAGCTTCCTTTGGGAGTTGCTCACCAACTCAGCCCAAGCCCTAAAGAAGATTAAGGCATCTGCTCAAGGAAACCATGTCTTCTTGGATGTTGACAAGTACCTGGGGAAGATTGAAGTGAGGTAAATATATTATATTATTTTTGGATTTTTGGTTATGAAACTCATCTGATTTGAAGATTTAAAAAAAAACATTGAGAGCTTATCTTGTTTTTGGTTGTTTCTATACAAAAGGATTAGATAATTTGTTGAGTTAATTTCAAAAGTCATAAATGAAAAACAAAGGACTCATTTATTTTAAACAACCAAAAACAAGATAAGCTATCAATGCTTGATAACATTGTTCAAAGTTACTTACCCATACAATTTTTTAATTCGTAATCAGAGATTAATCAGGTTTCTTCATTTTTATGCTTAGATATATGAGTAATATTGTATACTAGATTTTACTTCAAAATTTTCTTCTCTAACCTGAATCTTAGCTTGGGTGAGTGACTACTAAAATTCATACTATACTTTCAAATTCTTAAATCACTAAATTTGTGAACCTATAACTGTTTTAAAATATACATAGAAGTTTTTCTCAACACATTAAATAGTATATATTTTTTCTATTTTAAATGATTGTTTTTAAATATTATCTTAATGTATAAATCGTTATTATATATTTATTAAATATTCCAAATGATTACAAAAAGGTTGAATGTAAAAGAAAAAAGCAGCTTCATATAAATAATTTGTCAAAAAAGAGGTTTGTTCTATCTTGCCTAGCCTTTCTTGTCTTGTGTAACAACATATATAGATTATGCAAGAAAAAAAAAATAGATGCTGTGAAAGGTAGAACGTACGGTCTCTGTCGTTTTAACCTTGTCCCTAATGTGTTCATTTTATCTCAAACTGACTATTATGATTATTGGTGTTTGGTATAAGACACTCTTCTTGCTTTCAAACATCACCTCATACACAAAAGTGATAACACAAAGAAAAGCAACCTATTAGCCTCCTTTCCTCTGTCTTTACGGGCATCATAGTATTCCTAGAATATTTGGTTGTAACATAATTGTTTTACAAGCAGGTCAACATACACTATTTTAGAAATCAAAGACAATCATTTTCTGATTAATTTTGAGTTTGGATCCCTGATAGTCTCAAACGGAAGAAACTGACTTTTCTGTACGATTAACACTCTTTTCTTGAGAAACAAGAAACAGATCAGAACATTTTCTTGAGACTACAATACATACTTTGCAACAAAACAAGTATATAAACTACTATACTTTGCAGTCAAGTGTTTTGTTATTCTAATCGTCTATCCTTTGAAATTGGAATAATTATTATATTGCTATATTATAGATGTTATTAACGAAAAAAAAGTGTAAATAGGTGAAAGTATCTATATGCTTATCTTCGTTTTGTCTTTCCTTTAAGGTTTTGTTTTCTCTTCAAGTTAGAAATAAAGTTTTATTTCTTCTCTCTCGACGTAAACATTCTTTTCTTCAGCTGCAAGATAATTATGTATCTCATATAATAGGTTTACACACACACACACACACATATATATATGAGTTATGTATTGTGCAAACACAAATCATACCATTTTTAAAAATAGCTGACATCTTCAATCTCTTTTAACGAGCCATGGTCTCTGTCAACCTCTCTTCCTCTCCTTCTACTCCCCCTCCTACTTTTATTTTATGCCCTAGTGAACATCTCCATTATATATATGGTTTGACAAATGAACCAATACATAATAAGTCTTCAAAACCTCACCATCTTATCCCCCTTGATTTGTCTAGAATCAATGTCGACGTGGAAAGGCGACCCTTGAGATGCCACACGTGCATGCGTTATAGCAGCGTATGTGATTATTGGTGTGAAACATGTTGCGTACCTTACCACAAAGAATGTCTTGAACCTCCACCTAAGATCAATGTCCTATATCATCCCAAACATCCTCTCCGACTTCATTGCAGTGGATGGGGGAAGCTTATCAAGTGTAGTTGCTGTGGAGAACGCCCTGTGAGTGGAATTTTATATTACAATTGTCGTAAATGCGATTTTAATTTGCATACCGTTTGTGCAATAAAGCAAAACATCCTTTCTATAAACTACCCCAAAAGACATGAACATACACTCATATACTTTCCTAGAAGAAACTCTCTAGTTTGTGATGTTTGTGCATTGGATGATAAGGACTGTTTCGTCTACATTTGTTACCAATGCGATTTCGTTGTTCATAAGACGTGTATCTACCTACCAACCACGATCAGAATATCCCGTCATGAACATCGTCTATCTTTCACTCCGAATATTTATATTCCTGAGGAGGATTGGTCTATCTACCATGACGAGGATTGGTCTTGTGGAGTTTGTCGCAAAATAGTTGACGGAAACTATGGGCAATACTCTTGCGTGAAGGGTTGTGATTATTTTGTTCATTCTAAATGCGCAACACTAAGAAACTTGTGGGACGGTGAAGAACATGAAGGAGAACCTGAGATTGAGTATGAAGATATTAAGACGTTCAAAGAGATAGGTGACGGAAGAGTTATACAACATTTTAGTCATCCAAAGCACCACATGAAGCTGAAAAAAGAGAGTGATGAGGGAAAATGGTGTCAAGCTTGCATTCTTCCAATCTACGAAGGTAACATTTATGAATGCATGATGAAATGTGACTTTATTCTTCATGAAACATGTGCACATCTTCCTCGTAGAAAATGGCATCCACTGCATGTTCATCCACTTACTCTACAAGTGAACCATATTGAAGGTGGCACGTTCATATGTCATGCTTGTATGGACCATTGCTGTGGTTTCGCATATGAGTGTTGTGAACCTCGTTGTTCTTTCACCATTGATGTACGATGCGCTTTGGTTTACGAGCCTTTCATTGATCATTGCATACATCCACATCCTTTATTCTTATCACCTAAGGAAGGCACGAAACAATGTTCCCTGTGTTATAGAAAACCCAATCACTCCATGACTTGTAATAAATGTTCCTTCTCCTTTGGTTTATGTTTCCGTTGTGCCACTATCCCAAACAAGATGAAGTACATATCCGATGAACATGTTCTCACTCGGAGCTACTACCACAGGGATAATATAATCTCCGATATCTATTGTGAGATATGTGAACAATATTCATATTATGATGTCGGTTATTATATGTGCAATGTGTGCTGCACGGCAGTACATATTACATGTCTATTGGGAAACCATCCGTTTATCAAGCATGGAGAAAGCATCATAATTGAAAAGACCGTTTCACTCGACACATTTGCTCCAAGTGTGAAAAACGTTCCCTTAACAGAATAGTTTTCATCACATCATTTGGAATGCTGTTTTGTTCCACGTATTGTATATACAAGTTTGGAGGAGAACGGTATGAAAATGCATTTTAATAGTAACTAATAATAGTCTTTACATATATTTATACACTAACTACTTAGTTATATTTGTTTCACGTTTGTAATAGATTGTTTGAAATGGATCAACAATGGAGGAGGAGGAATGGTAAAGACACACTGACCGAGTAATTATATTATGGAGTATATATGGCTCTCTTAAGTATCGTTGAGACTGATCAGAATAAGACATACAATCATGATTCATATGTATCTTACTGTTGTATAGTTTGAGGTTTAGTCTTTTCTCTCTTTTAAAATGATGCTTCTTAATTAATTTTCTTTGTTGAATGTATAACATACTTCCTCTTAACGTCAGTTGCAAGATATGATATTTGTGATTCTTAGACACTATATTTGAATGAGAACACTATTGGCACAGCAACGACAAGTTGCAGAAACTCAAGAGACAATTCCTCTCATATCCCTAAATCTCATTATCTAATCTTTCTAGGACACATTTTTTCTTTTAATTTTATATGTCAAACGAAAAATCACAAAATTAACCTGGAAACATAAATATTTTTAATTTGATTTATAGAATTTGATAAAAAAATATTTCGAAAATCCAAAAACGTTTTTTCATATTTTCACGAAATCATCAAAATATGATTAAAAATGATTTTAAAATTTTTTTTTTTTTGAATTTGAAAGGTATAGAGTTTAAATATTTCTTCATGGGTTCACTCATCCATAGGGTTTTTTGTTTTTAGTTTTGAACATCCAGGAGAATTTAATTTGAGTGTTTGGGTTTTGATCAAAAAATTTATGAAATAGGGATATAAGAGATCAAGTGAACCCATAGGAGATTAGCTCTAAAAAAATAGGGGCACGAAAGAAGTTGACTCGAAGCTCGATTGATTCCAACATGAATATCCATTCAATGAAGACTTGATGATGATTATTGATCCCGAAGGGTTTTTAGTAACCGTTATTATAAAATACGAAAATAAAATATTATCATAGGATATGAAACTAGTGAGTTTCTAAATTAGAATCGCGAGTTTCCAAGTTAGAACCACGAGTTTTCATCGTATTTCCAAAATGAAATTTTCAAGAAACGTGAAACGGATCTTTGATAGAGTTTTCATGCAACCTAACTAGTAATAGTCGTTTTTTGAAACATCATACATGAAATCAAGTTAAATGGAAATGAGTGTAATATTATAATAGGAGTGAACAGTTAGATAGGAGAGCATGGACGGTTAGATTAAGTATGTATAGTTAGAAATTTTAAATTGAATCCAACAGATATGGTTAAAACATGTTCTTAATTTAATAGTATTTGATATTATACATAAGATATGTGAGATTTTGAGTACGCAAATATAACAAAGAACATTGATTAAAATGTCAAACAAAGGATTCTGATTAACTTAAAAACACAAAGAAAATGATCAGAGTATCACTTTCCCAGTCTGAATGCAATTGGAAACTTTAAAAAAAAATGATCTCTTAGTTGTAGAGATCATCATCGTCCGCAGCAGCTGCTGCCGAGGTGGCAAAAGGATCGGCGACTCCAGTGGTTGCACCTGAACCAGCATTAGTCTCGAACCTGAACTCAGAACCAAACCCTCTAGACTGCTGCAGCGTCTGAGCAAAGGCTTGGTACTTCCTGATGTCTGCATCACTCACACTCCTGCGCGCATACTTCATTGACTCTTCAAAGTGTGCAGCTTTGATCTCAGACACTTCATCCACTCCATCTTCCTCCATGGCCTCTGGGTTCTCGCTCCTCCTCTTCTCCTTTTCAATGTCCTGCAACAAAACTAAACTTTAGCAACTCGAGACTCAAAAACAGCAATTTCAACTTTTAGAGAATTTCACAACGCACCTTCTCGATGTTTTCTCTGATGGCGTATTTGCAAGCCCTCTGGCAAATCTCAGTGATATCAGCACCACTGAATCCCTGCGTGTACTTAGCCAGAGCGTTGATGTCAACATCTTTAGCAACAGGAGATTTCCTCAAGCAGGCCTTGAAGATGTTGAGACGTGAGTCCTCGTCTGGTAGTGGAATGTAAATGAGCTGGTCGAGCCTTCCTGGACGGAGAAGAGCAGAGTCAATAATGTCGGGTCTGTTGGTTGCTCCGATGATGAAGACGGTTTTCTTGGCGTTCATTCCATCCATCTCAGTCAAAAGCTGGTTCAAGACTCTGTCCGCTGCACCGCCAGCATCACCTCCGCCTCCACCTCCTCTCTGAGTGGCAATGGAGTCGAGCTCATCAAAGAAGAGAACACATGGAGCAGACTGGCGTGCCTTGTCAAAGATTTCACGGACGTTGGCTTCACTCTCTCCAAACCACATGGTGAGAAGCTCAGGACCTTTGACACTGATGAAGTTTGCTTGGCACTCGTTGGCTATAGCTTTGGCCAAGAGGGTTTTACCACATCCAGGAGGACCGTAGAATAGGACTCCCTTTGATGGAGACATACCGAACTTCTCAAACTTCTCTGGGTGCTCCACAGGGTATTGAACAGTCTGCATTTTAAACAATCACAGAGGTTAAGCTTAGCTTATAATTGATATAGACAGATCCAAACAAGAATGGGTAGAGTAATTTACCTCCTGGAGCTCTCTCTTGACATTTTCAAGACCTCCAATGTCATCCCAAGAAACATTAGGAACCTCCACAACCTGCAAAACATAGAAAGTTGGGAATGAGATTTAAGTGAAATTACAGAATCTGATCTCGTTCTAAGTGCAGTAATACTCACAGTTTCACGAAGTGCAGATGGGTTGCTGTTGCCGAGAGCAGTGTGGAAGTGTTCATTGGTCACTGCCATGGAGTTGAGGATTTCAGCATCAATGGAGTCGTCTTCCAGATCAATCACATCCATCTTCTCCCTGATACATTGCAGGGCAGCTTCTGTGCACAGAGCTGCAAGATCAGCACCAACATAACCGTGTGTGTCCTTCGAGATCCTCTCAAGATCCACCTGAAACAAAACAAAAGAATAATTAATATTCAGTAAGTATAGCAGTTAACAAAGGCAGGTAAAGCTACAATCAGAAACTTACATCTTCAGCAAGTTTCATGTTCTTAGTGTGGATCCTGAGAACTTCAAGACGTCCAATTTCGTCAGGAACTCCAATATCAATCTCCCTATCAAATCTTCCAAACCTTCTCAAAGCTGGATCAATACTGTTGGGACGATTGGTTGCTCCCATGACAATAACGTGAGCACGAGATTTAAGTCCATCCATAAGCGTAAGAAGCTGAGACACAATCCTCCTCTCAACCTCTCCATTAGTCTTCTCTCTTTTGGGTGCAATAGAGTCAATCTCGTCAATGAATATAATGGACGGTGCGTTCTTCTCAGCCTCCTCAAACGCTTTCCTAAGGTTGCTCTCACTCTCACCAGCCAGCTTAGACATGATCTCAGGACCATTAATACAGAAGAAAAAGGCACCAGTTTCATTAGCCACTGCACGAGCAATCAAAGTCTTTCCTGACCCAGGTGGTCCGTAAAGCAGAATTCCCTTCGGTGGCTTAACACCAATTGACTTGAACAGCTGCGGATGCCTCAGGGGAAGCTCAACAAGCTCCCTGATCTGAGCCATCTGCTTCCTGACACCACCAACATCATCATAACCCACTTCATCTAGCCTTTCTTCATCCTCTCTCTTCACCGGCTCACCCTCACAGAAAATCTCAGTGTCTGGAGCAACCACACAGTACTCAGCAGGATCTGTCTCTATCACTTTAAACTCCACACTCCTCATTCCTCCTCTGACTAGGAAGAGATCACCCTTCCTCACTGGGCGGTATGCCTCCAAGAAATAAGCTGTTCAATCAAAAACAAATTGTATTCAGATAAACCAAACCATACATATATAAACAGTACCTCAAAGAAAACCAAAAGGACAACTTACGTTTCAGGTAAGCATCAAAGAGGTTTCCAGTAACTCCTTCAACAGTATCATCAACAGGCAAGATGTGCACACGCTTTCCATACTTGACATCAGGGCACTGGTGAACAGAGATAACATCTCCGAGTCTAACCCTCAAGTTAGACCTGACTACTTTGTTCATCCTGATCTTTGGCTCCTCACATGATTCATCAGCAAGGGCAATGCAAATAGTGTCCTTCCTTTTCTTACCCTATAAATACAAAACCCAAATAAGAATCCACAACAATTCATCATCAAGACAGCAACAGAACAATACTAAAAACCCTAATTTAAGTCCCTTCCATAGAGTGAAAAGAGAAGAGGAAAAAAAAGACCAAACCTTGATGAGAATGGTATCACCACGGAAGAGCTGAAGCTTCTCCATGGTGGAAGGGTGGAGAGAAACGACGGAGTTATCATCGTTGATTGCCTCATCGACGACAAGTCTGTTCGGAGACTTCTTCCTCTCCAGAATCGCAGTACTGAAATCCTTCTTCGATTTCCTGAAATCAAAAACAATTAAAAAAGGATCAAGCTTTGGACTTAATAGAGTAAATCAATCAAAACCCTAATCGCGAAATCGAGAGAGATCGGAATCGGAGAGATCTGGGTAACTTACGAGTCTGAGGATTCAGCTGGGTTTGTCATGATTGAATCGACGAGATTGGCGATTGAGAGAGTTTTTTTCTCAGAAAGTTGAGAGCTTTAGAGAGAGGAGTGGATTGTGATTGTAATGGGATCTGAAAGAGTAGAGAGAGATCGTCGGAGATTATATCTCTTATGTTTCTTGTTTGAAAAGATAGAACTTATTTTCCTTTTTCTTTTTTTTTTTCTTTTTTTCTAATCTTTCTGGAATTATCTGAACCGACCCCTGGTGTTTCCTTTTTTCACGAAGCTGTATCCTAATTATGTTCTGTAATTAACAACTCCAATCTTATAGAGTTTTATATATGAACAATGTTTAATGCTTAAGAAATCGTTAACTAGTTGAAAAACTAGTTGGACAAGGCCTAAACATTAACCAATTTTTAGGGCTGTTCAATATGGTAATACCGAACCGTACCGAACCGAACCGAAATAGACAATGTAGTTTGGATTTGGTATATACCATATAAACCGAATGGATATGACTTTATAAAAACCGTAGGATTTAGTCATGGTTAGGTTTATAACCGATTAAACCGAAAAAACCGAACAAAACCGATCAAATAAAAAATATATAAATATATACATTATATACCAATTTATTTTCTTGGAATAGTCTTTTTTAAAAAAAAAATATTCCTTGTGAAGATATATCTTAATAATTTTATTTTATTTTCTTCAACTATTATCTAAATTTGATTTGATTTTGTATGTTGTAAGAAATTGTGAAATTAGATTGTAACATGTAATTTATTTGGAAGAGCAAAGAGAAAATAAGAAAAACTATACAAAACTGAATCGTTGGTCGTTTTGTTTGTTGTTAATTTCATATTTTTATATTTATGAACACCTAGGATTATTTTAATATATGAGAGTTTTTACAATATGTTTTTTTTAATTCATATAATATGAAACCAAATCAAATAATAATGTTATTTGGTATAAAACCGAATAAACCGAAAACCGGTAGTATAAATACTGAACCAAACCAAATTAAATATGGTTCCAATATAGTAGCTAATTTTTATAAACCGAATAACCGAAAACCGAAAAAACCGAACCGAAACCGGACCGAACACCAGATTAAACAGGCCTAATTTTGATATATATATATATATTTTTTTTTTGCTTTTATGTCTAGTTACAAAATTATTTTGAATATATATACAAAAAATAAATAAATTTATGGATTTACAATACTCTTATTGCTTGATTAAACTAATTTAGATCGATTTAGAATAATTTAAATGGATTTAAATCACACTATTTGTTTTGGTTATAACAGATTTGGCATCAGAACATCCATAAGAAGATAAGATACTGAACCACAAAAGTAAAACTATGATTGTTTTCTCTTTTAATCCATGTTTGTGCTAAGATTTACTTAAGGTACTTTGACACATACTTTGTATACACGAATATAAGATTTAACCACAGAAGTAAAACTATGATTGTTTTCTCTTTTAATCCATGTTTGTGCTAAGATTTACTTAAGGTACCTTGACACATACTTTGTTTGTATACATGAAAGCATCAATTTTGGAACAAAACTCCTGACTCCTGATAAGCTACATAACATATCTTGACAACTGTGGTTATACTAATACAAACATCAAAAACTATAACATCCAGCATCTTTCACAATCTTCATTTATAAATATGTATTTATATAAGCTAGATCTTGATCTTCATCTTGATACTTTACTTTTTTTCTTGTAACAAGAAGTTAGAATCTTAAGCAATCTAACAAGCTTTTACTGTCTTTGGGTTCCATAACTTACCAAACCAACCTCCTTCACCTCCACCACCACCATTGTTCCTCGTCTCTAAAACCCTCTTCTTCTTCCCTCCCACATCTCTAGACGTCTCTAAACTCTTCAAGGGAACTAGCTTCGGGCTAGTACCACTCCCTGAAGGCGCTTCCACAATCTTGTTCACCATCTCCAACACTTCACTCATCTTGGGACGTGCCTTTGGGTTCCTAACCAAACATCTGTTGGCCACAACTGATAGCTTCTGAACAGCTTTAAGTGTGTACTTCCCTTCAAGTCTAGGGTCTAATATGAGCTTGAACTTCTTTGTGTCTGATAGATAAGGTCTCACCCATTCTAGAAGCTTCTGCTCTCCCTTTGGTTTGTTCCTGTCTACTGGTCTCCTCCCTGTGATGAGTTCATAGATGAACACTCCATAACCCCACACATCACTTTTGGATGTGAGACGGCCCGTTTTAATGTATTCAGGAGCTGCATAACCCATTGTACCTACAACCTAACAAAGAGGAACAAACCAGTTACTAAAACATAGATGGGATTTTTGTCCAAACCGAACCAAATTTTTTGGTTCGTTCCGTTAGTTTGATAAATAATTCGGCTTGATTTGATAGGTTTTTTAAAAAATCAGTTTTTGGTTTAACAATAGGTTATTTATCTGAAATGTACAAAAGTTATTTCACCAAAATTAAACCAAAATCTAAGAAAAATCAGAAATTTCGGTGGAATTTTCAAAAAACCGAACTAACCGAATACCAAACGGAACCGAACTTTACTATGAGTTAATTTAGTAAGATTTATGTAGAACCAAACTACCCGAACCAAATAACTAATCGAACCCGCATGTCTAGATGTTACTCAAATCCAAAGAAGTGAATGCAGAGAACTTACATCAGTAGTAACATGAGTTAGTCCTTCAGATGGACCTAAACGAGCCAAACCAAAGTCAGAGAGCTTTGCTTTCCAGTCCTCATCCAAAAGAATGTTGGAAGACTTAAAGTCTCTGAATATTATCTGTTAAAACAATATGAGATCAAAGTCACTAAAGAGAAGAACAATGAGTTCAGTTCAAGTTAGAGTCATGAGACATTACCTGAAACTCCATTTGTTCATGCAGATATGTTAAACCACGAGCTGCATCTTGAGCGATTCTCAACCTTAAATCCCAAGTAAGGACTGTGAGTGAGCGAGGAGATAAATGGAACTCAACGCTCCGGTTGGGCATGTATTCATAAACCAAAAGACGTTGGATCCCACGCTCATCATCTTCTGCACAGTAACCAAGCAGCTTCACCAAGTTTGAATGCTCAACCACACCAAGAAAGTTCACTTCCGTAACCCATTCCTTATGCCCCTACAAAAGAACCAAGAAACGAGAGTTAGACATATACATAAACTGAACAAAGCTTGAGACCAAAGACATGAGACATGCCTGCAACCCTCTTTTACCAAGCTGCTTAACAGCAACTTCAATTTTAACTGTCGGATCATCCAAATCCCTCACAGTTCCCCTGAAGACACAACCAAACCCTCCTTCACCAATCATAACAGATCTACTAAAGTTCTTAGTTGCAGATTTGAGATCAGTAACACTGAACTCTCTTAGATTACTCGCTCTAGTAGAAACTGGAGGATACGAGTTCTTCCTCCCCATGGACGACTCCGTGCTCGTGCCAGAGGCGTCTCGAGAGTTGAAATCTGAGCCGCTTCGGTTTATGTCGCGTTCGGAGAAGTTAGAGGTCAATGAGAGATTCTTGTTTTCGTCCTTCTTGTCCCCACCACCAGAGAACATGAAACACTTCATTGTCGTGAAGAGTTGATTATACCACCGAGGTTTCTCCACTACAAGACAATAGTCACATAAACAAAACATTTTAAGTTCGTTATCAAATAAAGTTAAAGCCTTTGCGCAAACCCATGTCGTTAAACAGAGTAAAGGTTAGATCTTGAAGGTAGAACTCACCTTTTGAAGTTACTTTGTAGATAGAAAGATTGAAGCTTTATTAGAAGAAGATGAAGTTTAAAGTGTCAGAAGGGAGAGATGATTTGTGGTTAGTTGAAAATGGGGTTTTTAAGAAGAGAAGGTTGGAGGAAAGAAGGGAAAGTGAAGACGACGTCACACGGCAAAAAACAAAAAGTCTTTGCAGATAGTAGCCAAGTCAGCAAAAAATAATAATTTTATTGGGACAGTAGAGAATAAACTGATTGTAAATTGTATAATGTTTCTAAAAAGAATATATTATTTATTTTTGAGAAAAAAAGGAATTGTGGAAAAACGTTGAGCTTCCTTTGACGTTTTCAAAGGTAAATGTGTTTGAAAAAGTAGGTAATAAATCAGTGAATCTGATGGTTTCTTTTTGTATTTTGATTTTAGTAATAAGTAAAGTGTGGGGGTTTGGTAGTTGTTACGTTTTAATGGAACTTTGATTATATAAAATAGCATTACTTTAGCTTATATTTCAACATCGTTGTTGCATCAACATTTGATTTCAGGTATCTATATGATTGTTTGATTAGAATTACATTAGATGATGGTGAAAGAACTACAACACATATTCTAAACCACCATGTGTACGATTAGTGACAGACAACTGAACATGTTGGAGCCTTTTAAAAAAAGATTGAATATATATTTTGCAAGAAATTGCATGCTATGAGATTTAAATGCCAAAATAATATACTCCATCCGTTTCATATTAAGTGTCGATGTAGAGAAATTTTTGCGTTACAAAATAAGTGTCCTTTTCGGTTTTCAATGCAAAATTTATTAATTTTAGGTATACTTTGTTTTTTCTATTGGTTAAAATATGGTTAGGTGTATGGATAATTGTGTTTTTATATAGGAAATATGTAAAATTAATTGTTTCCTTAATTCGCGTGCACAGCTGTAGAGTGACACTTTTATAATGAAACAGAGGGAGTAATAGTTGTATTATTTTATGACCCTAAGCATGGTTCTATATTTAATCTTACTTTATCATAGTTTATAATAGATTATCATGAGATTTGAAGTGGGGAAGTTAGTGAAAGGGGAACTTGGGAGTCACCAAGGAGATTTTCCCCAAATCTTCCTGGAACCTTGATTACATAAACAATGACAAAGTTTAACATTTTCACACACAAAAAGTATCAACTAAAAGAAATCCTCGGTTTCGGTTTCCGATTGATCTATCGATTTCTTAAAATTGGTTAGATAAATTGAACCACTTGTTGGACAACCTTAAAACCTTGGTAACTTCAATTAGTTTCTACTAACACAACATTTGTCGTGTTGCTTACTTGCTTTACACTACTATTCGATATGATACAGCTTTACCTCAAACTCAAAATATCGCAAACACAGTTTCTAGAACAAAAAAAAAGAATGTAAAAAAAGTCAAAGTCATTGGATACTCAAAAGGTCAAAGTAAGCAGACTTTAACGACTCGGATTGGTCCAATTCCTACCCTACATTATGAGAAACATCCAAAAACTAGACAAAGCTGTCCTATCCAATTATCCCCATCATTCATTCTTTAGAATTTGTTCTATGCACCGACCTAAAATAGGTTCTGTGAACTTTGCTTAGCATATACAGTAGTATCCAATAGATAAACAAGTTATGACATGGTCTTCACTATAATAGCAAAACGAAAACTATAGAATGTGGACTAAGTCATGAATTATTGCAAAAAAAAAAAGACCGGAACTGGGTTCAGAAGTTAAATCCATTTAAACTTGAAAAATATATGACAGTTTCGCAGAAACTGAGTTCATAATGAAGCTTATCATCCAACTTAAGATTCACAGAACTTATAAGTATTTGAACATAAACTTTTAATATTCAAATGTAAATAAGTAACTTAGGATGCAACAAGCAATGAACATTATCTTATATCACTCAGCCTAGTACCTTAATGATATTTATTTTCTCTAAGATTTTATTAATCAATAAAAATTCTATTAAAAGCATAACAACAAAACAAGCCAAAACAACACTTCACTGCATTGTATTAAAATAAAAAAAAACAGTACATGTAATAGATCAAAGCCTCAAAAGGTGATACAAACAACAATAGTAATGTTTATTCAGGATAATAGTAATAATGCTTGGGAAAGAGTTTCAGTTTTAGTTGAAGTCTGGCTTCTCAGGGTAAGTGCAACCAGACCTCTGAATCACTACGTTAGAAGCGTAGCATCCCGCCCTCACGCACTCCTCAACGGCCTTGCCATGCACCAGCTGCGAAAGAAACCCTCCCACAAACGCATCACCTATTGAACCACAAATAAAAAGTGGTCAAAACCAAATGTATAATGATCTTGTCAAAGTCTTTTAGCTTAAGTCTACTGTATCTAGGCAGCCTAGGACTGAATGGACCAGACTAAAGCTCGTGTGAGTTAAGTAAGAGAGCTAGGTTCTTAGAATGTACCTGCACCGTTTGTGTCAACTAGCTTCTCCTTGGGGAGAGGGATGACTGGGTACTTCTTCACCTTTCCATCCTCAGCGACAACCACAGGATCTGCGCCTTGTGTAATCACAGTAGTCCTCTTGTATGTTCCAGTGGCTTTAGGCAACTGGGAGATCTTGATTGCTATTTGCTCAACATCATCGGTCTGTATAAAACACAACCAAACAGATGAATAACAAGACTTCCTTTGTTAAAACCAAAAAATCAGGGTGAAATTATGGATGTTACCTCCCATCCGTGAACCCTGGAGAAGGTTCTTGCCTCGGTCTCATTGCCAAAGACATAGTCCATGTACCTGGTCCAAGCAAAGATATTAGAATTGCATGCTTTAGGAAACCATAAAGATATAATAAAATTAGGGTAATGCTTACGGCAGACACTTCTCCTGAACGTCCTTGAAGAACTCACAAATGAATGGAGCAGAAAGGTTCATGGTGAACACCTGTCAGTTATGTAAGCATCAATCATCAGAGATCTTTCATATTGAACATGGTTTTGGTGAAGGATTATAACTTTGTTTTACCTTGTTGTTTGCAGCGGCGTGCTCACGTACCAACTGAATGGATTCTGGTGACACCGTGAGGAAGAATCCAGCAATGTAGTAGAACTTGGCCTTCTCAACTGCCACGGAAAAGGAAAAATGTGAAACTATCCAATCTCTTAGTGAAAACTTAAGGTGGGAAAGATGAGTTTATTATTACCTAGAGCCCAGTTCTCAGGCTTCTTAAGGTGTTCAACCTTGTAGCAATTTGCAGCAGAAAGGTTAGCGATAAGAGACCTGCAAAAAAAACGAGAAAACATTGCCTCAATACAACTCAGCAGAAGAAAATCTTTTCAAGTTAACAATCATAAGCAGAGACAGAGAGTGACTAACCTTTCTCCACCAACAACGCAGACACCGCAAGTTCCGGTACCTGCTGACTCATCTTCGTAATAGTGGACCTGCATATACAACAACAGTGACTTAAAAAAGCAGAACCAAAGTTAACACTTAGTTGATAAACAGAAAGCAGCAGACTCACATTGACACCAGCTGCAGTTGCATCCTTTTTCATTGCCTCACCGTATTTGTCTTTCCCAATGGATCCCATGTAACTGGTTGCCCCAGGGATTTGAAGCATCCACTGTAGTAATCAAAATATATAATTCCTTAGAGTAACTTTAAAAACAAAGAATGTGAAACTGTTATGTTTTTACCTGGGCCACTTTGATTGAGTTCTGAGTAGCACCTATAAAAAGGGAAAACGATTCAAGAAGCTTAACAGAAGCTTGATAATCCACATAAACGTCAAATGTTAAATAGCACAGGAAGATGAAAATGATTTACCTCCAGCAATGTATTCAACACTGAACTTCTCGCTCATCTCATCGTACCTAAAGAAAAATAATCACAGTCATAACAAAATCACTTCTTTGTTTGTTTTCTGAATCATTCAAAGACTAAAGGAGAAATAAACAGACTTGTGGTAGCATTATAGACACCCATCACATCATCATAACCCAAATTCGATAAATGAATTAAACCAAGATTCCATTTACATACTCATATCAAAGGCTACAAATTGACTCTATGATTATAAGAAAAAGTGTTAATCTTTATTTTAACTTACATGGGCAAATGTTTGTCCTCGGCGAGAATAGCATTGTTCAACTTGATGTCGTATCTGTCATCATTACAGAGGAAAAAACATTAAGAAACAGAGAGACCCATAAGAATATATTACAAAAAAAAAAAAACAATCCAGATCCGAACCAAGACAATCAAAGAAGAGATTGGATCTGAGAGAGCTTACTTGTTGAGAAAGTCTTGGTCGACGACGGCAGAGACGTCGAGGAGAGGGTTTCCCATTCCCAGGAGGATTCCATTGAAATCAGAGGAGGCCATGGATGATGATGTTTGAAGGAGTTCGGGAAGAAAAGGGAAGAGATTCAGATCTGGTAATGAAGACACTATTCAAGTGGGTTTGGTCAGTGGAGTGCGAGTCTCTTTATATTATTATTCATTAAATAGGTGGAAAAAAAAACAAAGATTATAATTAATTCTATTTTTTTTTTGTCGACCATTTTTTATAACTAATTATCTAGTTAATACTTCTACAATGTTATCATTTAATTTATTTTAAAAATACAGAAAAAATGATACAAAATTAGACACAGAAAATAGTAAATTATCAAAATTGGCTTAGGGTTTAACTTGTTAAATTTATATATAAGTTTTTTTGGCTAATACATTTTTTCTTTTAATAAAGAAAATATGACTTGCAAAATATTTATTAGTTGTTATTTTGGTGGTGAACATATGGATTCATTCTAGAGTGAAGGTTGGACATAAGAAAAACCATTTAACTTGTGAATTTATAGATTCATTATAGAAAAACTATTTAACTTTCATCTTTCCACATGAATAACAATAGGTAAACTGTATTATGAAAAACCAATGAATTTAGACTAATGACATTTACGGATAAATCCAGTACGGTGAATCCACAGTTTGAATCTCATTGACCACCCGAATATAGACTATTACTTTCGATCAATTTAAATATTCAAAAGAAAATTCATCCGTGTAACTCATTTCAAACGTTAGATCTAATTCTTTAATAGGTTTTGGTTTAATTTATCCAAGAATTAGATCTAGTTCTTTAATAGATCTTGGTTTAACTTTTTTCTTTAAAAAGAAAAAAATATATGTTTCAAAAAATCATGCAATCTAACTTTAGATGAGAGAGAGAGAGATTTCATTGGTATAATAGGTGATCACATATGGCATTTGTGAACTCCGTTGTGGTTGAGGTACCTCCTAGGTCAACAGTTCGATGCTTGCCCTCTGCTATTGTGTCGACAACGGCTTTGTGAATTTGCTCTGCTTTCTCATTGAGTTCGAGGTGACGCAGCATCATAACCCCACTCAAAATCATAGCAGTGGGATTCGCCAAGTTCTACAAAACACCACCAAACATTTGAACAATGGTATAATATTCTTAACCTTTCTTTTACAAAATGTAAGAATGAATCAAAACGTTTTATTTTAGGACTAACCTTTCCTGTAAGATCAGGCATCGAATCATGAACAACTTCAGCTAGAGCAACACCGTCCTCTCCAATACTACAGCTGCATCAAGAACATTAGAGCATTATTAGTGATGGTATCTTTAAATTAGGTCTCTCTATATATTATCATATTACTATCTAAAAATAATTGAATTGTGTAATCAAAATTTATTGTCTTAATACAATTTTAACCATTTGGGAAATGATAGGTATAGAATTTTGGGAAATTAGATTCTATAACCACACAAAAACCCATAATTGACTAAATAGCCAAAATCATACTCTCTCTCCCCTTCTTTCTTCCTATCTCTCTCTACTCTTTCTCTTAAAAAACTAATTTTCTTTTTTTTCCTAGTTATTTGGCAAATAAGTCCAATTTTGGTGTAAGAGTTTTTTTTTAAGAAGAGATGATGTTGATGTTTTCTACATTCTTTTTCTCACTTTTCTATTTTTATTAATATTGTTGATCAGAGATAATGGTGAGAGACCATCAATAGAGCTGCTCTTACATTACATTTTTGATGATTAATCGACATAATAAACTATAGTCTGATAATATTATTACCATGGGATCAAATTAAGTCCACCAACCAATCCGGCACATAAATTACTAATAATGTCTCCGTAGTAGAAACTCGGCATAACCAATACATCAAATCGTGATGGGTTATTCACAAGCTGTAGACCATTAAAACAATGAATGCAAAAATCAGCAATTGCTAGTTAACTATATAGTTAAGCATCTATTATATAAAGTACAGCTACATCACTCCTTAGAATGTCCACGTAGGCTGACACGTCAGTAAGTCCACGTCAGATGAGGATTCTGTTGTTGGGCCGCACTCCAATTTCCGTCTGGGCTTCGCATTTTCTTATCTGGCCCGTTTTTTTTTTGTTCACCTTCTACCTCTACGCTTTCCCCAACGATAGTCGACGTTAAATAAATAAAGAAATCTACTCAGCAGAAACTACATCAATGGCTATAAAGTCCACCACAAAGTCTCAGCTTACCACCAGAAAATCTCCCGCCGCCATGTTTTTCAACGACATCTCACCAGGACGATCTGAGTCACAGCTTCGATTCCGGCTGATCTATTCTTGGAAGAAAAAAAACATAGCCAGAGCTGTCACCTTTCTTGGGTTAGAGCTACTAATCATCGATGAACATGTACGCGTTCTAATCCCCAACTTTCATTCCATTGTAATCAAAACCAGCATCCTTACACCTGAATTATTTAATCTCCTGCAGGGTACTGTGATGCAAGGTTTCACATCCCCTGATCATGCTGAAACATACCGACCTCATCTCAGAGCAGGATCAACTTACACCCTTCAATTTTTTTTTGCTACCAAAAGCAAGGAGATTTATCGGGTTGCTGATCCGAGTTTGACCGCTTCATTCTCCACAAAATCTGTTCTCTCTCCCCTTAACGACGACATCCCCGTCTCTGTCTCTTTTCCCCCCCAGACAGGTTCAGGTTCCACACACATGAGGATTTCCAAGCTAAAATGGGACTCAGGGGTGATCTCTAGGGTAATCTATGTGATTTTAATAATCTGCATATTGATTTAAATTTAGATTTCTCTACTAATCTTCATGAACAATGTTTTAATCCAAAGAAAACCAGAATAGATTGGTAAGAGTTTCAATATTATTTTGTTTCTGAAAAGCTCAACGTTTCATATGATTTTTGAGTATTTTGTGTGTGTTTTTCTGCAAGATCCAACAATAATCCAAATCACTCAAAGATCAGGTATTTGTCTCATCTTCATACTTGAATGTTTCCTTCTGTATTGTTATGGTCAATCTAAAACTTACTTAGATATAGTGAGATTTTTATATCTAAGCTCTTGGTAATCTGTTATCTTAATAGTATGTTATTACATATGAGATATAATGAATACATTAGACATTCATGCATATCTGTTTTTTTTGTTCTACAGGGCTGCCATGAATAGAGAATAATTGACCAAATCTTTTGCAATGGTATGTTTAGACGTTATTTTACTGGTATTTGAGTTTTTGTTTTTCATGGTCCATTACTCTAACACGAGTAAGTTTGTTTGTTTTATTCTAGAAAACCATTCATGGAAGATTAATATATATTATGTTGTCCTATTAGTAGACTGATTTATGAAAAATCCTAGGTCATGTTGATTTTTTTGGTTCACCTGGACAAATATATGCAATGAGTTTGTGATGCTCCAGTTAGCTTTTAGTGTTGCTTCTTTGTAAATTATATTCTTTGTAATGTTGGAGAACTATCTCCAAGCTCTAGATTGGTACTAAGTTTATAAGTTCTTGCTTACTTGAAGGGTGTTTACTCTTTTTTGATGCACGCAGCTTCGCGGTTGGTGTGAGAGCTATATTGAGGCAACTTCTTAAGTCTCCATATCGAATGAGATATAGTAAGTATGTTCTGATAATTAATTTGTAACGCCGTATAATTCATCACATTATTAAAGTTATTGTTTGTTCCTTTGGTGATACATGTTTTAGCCACACTTAAATGGTGCAGAGAAAACTCAAGGAATAGCACAACTGCAATTCGTTTTCTTAAAGCAGCACGCAATGCAGTCCATTATGAGAATGCCGGACTTCAGGTACACCTTTTCCAACTACCTGGATTAGTCGCAGTGAAAGACTCAAGCAGTGCATCGGTTTAGAGATTAGGGCTTTGCTGTTAAAGGGATGGATGTCTCGCAGCAGTGCATTGATTGTTGGAGGCGGCAATAAGTTCGCTTTCTATATAGTAAACTCGATCATCTAAGGAGCTACCAGTCATTCAACTTTGTGTCTCAGCTAATGGTTTTCAGTTTTGTTATGTACATTATAATCACACCAGAATCCGGCGGTAATACCGAGAAATTCATGAACATGCTCCCGATCAACCAATCTGCTAGAGTCAGATGCGTTGAAGTACTGGACTTTAGCCTGGCGTCCTTTTAGCCACATAGGAGATCACACTCTTCCAAGGATGTCTCACTTGGCTATGGTTAGGCTATATAATATACATTCCAGTTATCTGTCAAGTGACTATGTTTCCTTCTACTCTCGAGGTAACAAAAATGAAGATTGGATCTTCAAGAATTTTTTGTTGTTGATGTTATAATGTCTTTTTTGGTGTTTGTTTTCTTGGAGAGAGGAATAACGGGACTGTTCATAACGGCGGTGGTGATTGTACTGAAGGATCTATATGCAGAGTTTGTTTTGAATGATACCAAGAAGACTAATTAGATATTGTGGGGTTTCTATAGTCGGAGCTTCCAAGGGCTGCATGGATGATGCTTTGTATTGTGAGAAGAATCATGCAGATTAGTTGAGAAAGAGAAAGATTATAAATTGCTTATGCTTTTAATTTAGTTTTTTTGTTTCCGGAATGTTATGTATTCTGCAGAGAAAAATGTGTAGCTTGAAATTTCAATTGTTGTCTATGTTATATTCTCTGTGATATGATTTTTTTTGAGGAAAACGTGTAAAAGTGTTTGTTAAATATTTTCAAAGACTAAAACATTTTCCAAACCGTAGAACGTTGTATCAAATTACAATAAACCACGTTTTAGTACAAGTAAAGTTGCGAGTCAGAACGAGCATATGGCTAGCTGGTAAATGATCAACGTGTCTGTGTAGTTAAGGATTATACAACAATTGTTTTTACGTTGCTCAATGAGAAGAGAGATATAAACATGGATGCATTCTATTAAAACGGTTTAAGTTTGATTAATCTGTAGTTACATAATTTTTGGTATTATCTCTCCATATTAATAGTGAGCCTCTACTCACAGGTGGTAACTTTAAGTATAGGATCTGTTTGTACTAGAAACAACATTACCAACCTATGAACACCATTTCCAACCCAACATGATAACTAATGTTTTGATTACCAGTTTCTCACCAAAAACTGAGATATTCTTTTTAGAAAATTATGCAAAAAGGCCTTAGTTGCTGACGAGAACCTTATAAAGAGTTATATACATTAGTTATTAGATGCAAATTATTCGGCTGAAAATGACATAATAATTCAATCACGGTGATGTCATAAAAGCAAAAAGGCAAAACAAAAATCACTTATAAACAAACTAACCAACAATTCTAAATTGTTAATATAGTATATATCATACACATTTCTCGCAAATGTGAACCTAAAATACCTACTACAAAATTATATAAAAAATAATAACCTAAAATCACAAGTAAGGTATATCCCGCCCGTAGGGCGGGCCGACCCTAGTAGATTATATGACAATAACTTACCATCATGCAACAATTTTCAACCACAACCTCCTCATATATTACATCAGGATACTTATTAGCAACCTCTTGACAACACTGAAAAAGAAAAATAAAAGTAATAAACATAAAGCAAATAAAAAAGACTGTCTCACAAGATGATCCTTACTAGTTACTAGTACCTTGAGAAAAAGACCATTAGTTTTTTGCATGACGTTAGCTTTGTGAATTGCAGAAACTTTCTTTCTCCCCTGAGTCTTAGCATAGTGAAATGCATACTCTGCAATCCTCAAACTCGCCTCACGTGTAATAATATTAAGACTTTGCACCACACCTTTAACAACCTAATTAATTAGCAGTAAAAGAAAACTCACCATGAAATTAAGGTTTCTTCTCGATTAATTATACAGAATAAAAACATAGAGAAACCTTACAAACTAACCTCATGTTCAATCCCATTGTACTCTCCTTGTGTGTTTTCACGGATGGTTATGAGATCAACGTTATCGTAACGGGTTGTGTAGCCAGGAAAACTAAAGAAATGCCTTACTTTAGCATAAAATTTTATCTCTTTTATAATAATACTATGACCTCTTGGACTTGACAATGGCAATGACATTTCCATTGGCCCTTTCAAACCAACCTTGTTCCTGCGCACAGACTCGAGACACTCCCATGTAAGGAAACTCTGAGTCCTAGGATCTTTTAATGTACAAAGATAATGTTCTTCCCATTCAATGGGAGCCTCAGCGACATTGAACACCTGGATCATCATACATACATTAACAGAGACCAAGACAAATGTTAGCGTTAGTTACAAGAAAGGGACCTGTTTGACAGATTCAGCGATTTCGGGACCGATACCATCACCATGTAAGAGAGTTGCTGTGATTGGAATGATGGAGGAGGAAAAAGCCCTAGCAACGAGCATACCTGAACTAGAAAGTCTAGAATTTGTAATCCCAAGGAGGAGCGTTCTAGATCGGTTAACGATCATCCCTCTCGCCAGAAAGGTTGCCATAGTCTTAGAAGGAAGCAGTCAGAAAAAGGTTTAACCTTAAAAGAAAGAGAAACAGAGAGGAAAGGAGACTTTTAGTTGTCTTGGGTCATAAGTCATATAGTAGAAACATGTTCTCCATTTCCATTTCTTCTAAAAACGCTTTGTAGTTTTTAACATTACGGATATGATGATATATTAAAGAGTATAGATACTTTTCTTCTACGCTTAATGACATGTTAAAAGTAGGGCTGGCTCAACAGCATTTAAGCAAATTTTATTTTAAAATAGTTAAAAGTTAAAATTTAATGTAATTATTTATGCTATTTATTATTTTCTATGAAATTTTTCAAAGCAAATTCTGTTTTAAATAAATTTAGTAAGCACATATTTTTTTTTCTTTAAAAATATCAAACAAATTTGTAAAAATGAAAGCAAACAATCTATCTAAGCGCCCTAGTTAAAAGTAGAATCATTTTTTATTAATTCTATATTTGATCATTTTATTAGATGATAGAAGCTTTTTTTTTGTTTTTTATTATTTTATTTAAATATATATCTTTTTTAATAAATGACTCTTGTGTCAATATTACTCTAAATATGATCGTATTATATATTTGTATAATATATAATATGATCTCTAAATAATTATGTTTTTGGTATAAAATTGAATAAACTGAAAAACGATGGTATATAAACTAAATCAAACTGAAGTATATATAGATTTAGAATAGTAGTTATATTTTAATAATCGAAATATCAAAAAATCGAACCGAACCAAAATCCGATATCTGGATTAAACACCTCTAATCCGAATGAAACCGAACTATTATTTCATTTTTCAAAACATAATAAAAATAATAGCTTTATCCCACGCAAGGCGTGGATCTGGTTATCTTTGCCGAGAACTGGTTACAACTGGTTACAAAAAAGGTTTTAAATGCACAACTTTTTACTGGCTTACAGAAAAATCGAAATCATGTATGACATGTTGTGTGTCTTTAAATAGCCCAAAATAAAAGAAATCAAGGCCCATTACAAAAAGAAGAAGGCCCAGTCAGAATGGGATATTTATCCACGAAGAGAAGAGAAACAACCACAAGAGACGAATCCAGTGACTAGGAACCCTAAAAGAGAGAGAGAGACGACGCAAATTATGACAAGGAGAAGGAGCAATATGAAACCGCAGGTATGGATAAGAACACGTAGGATTGAAGCTTTTTTTTTTTTCCTTGATCGAATATTTTCTTAATAGAACCTAAATCGATTCCCATAGGTGCGATTGTCTGATTATTTTTTGTCTGATAAGATAATTGATATAAGTTTCTCTCTTTCAAAAGCCGATCAGGTTAGGACAGAAATTTGGCATGGCCGTTCTGCTATTCGGTGCGGGATATGGCATGGCTGCTTATTTACATGGAGATTATGTAGCTGATCTAGACAATCAGGTGAAACAGGTAAAAGGAACATTCATAATTAATTGTATAACATTAATATTATTAATGCTCTTTAGCTAAAAAATGAAAAAAAAATTGATATTATGTCTTTATATTTTTATGTTCTTTTTTCAGGCGCTTGCGGAATGGAATGAGTCACGCAGTTAAAGCAAGTTACTGTACAGAATCATGCCATTGACATGTTTTTTTGCTTATGTTTGAGATCTTCATCAATTAACTGCGTTGTATTAAACGTGTGGTTGTCGTAGTTTGTGTATTTTTAGTGCCATTTTTTCTTATATATTTTAGTGACGTTATGAATATTTGCACTCACACATGAGCAAACCATGATGAACAGACTTGGGTCTTTAAGCTCATCAATCTGAATGAGTTTAGTAAGCCAAGTACTGTTGTTAGAACGCCTTCTTTCAAGGGGTGTTTGCCTCTCAGAATAGCACGGTTACCACAATGGCTATAAGTGACTAGCCAACTGTGTTTGGTAAATACCAGAATAATGTTTTTAAACTATAAGTGACTTTTATTGTACAAGGTTGTGTAGTTTACAGCACAGTTTTGAACAATCGGTAAGATCTCAGGCGTCTTCTTGCCACACGAGACTACGGGGATGATGTGTAGATAGTTAGAAAACAAGGACAGGTTCATCCTCAAATCCAATCCCATTGATTGAAAACTTGGGAGATGCTACAACACTGCAACAAAAATCCATGCAACGTGCCTGCACAAACAATACAAATAAAAAATTATTTTACCAAAAAAAAAAAATTAAATAAAACATTCATATACACTATTAAATGCACAACTTGTTGCATCTCCCGAACCCTATTCTGATATTCTAATGATAGAACATCTTTGTTATGTCATAGTACATATTCATATATGGGATTTGATTTATGAAAGTGTGTGCGAGTGGGTAGGTATGCGATTCTCTATCTCTTTCTTTACATTTGATTTCGAATCGCACTACCTTGCTGAAGAAATGTTTTAAGCTGATATAAACCTGTAATGAGTTAAAAAAAGAAAAACTAAACTTGGTAACGAAAAACTTCATTTTAATTAATATTAATTAATAGTTATCATTATCAACATGCAGTTTCACGTAATAGTCAAGCATTCCTTTATATAGCCAAATTTTGCTTGGCCGTACCTAAAATAATCTTTGTCTTTTTAGAATAATCTGTATTTTTTTTTGTATTTGGGTGACCTTAACTTTGAATTCATGTTCTGAGGCCTGAGCTTAGCTTATCTTTCAATTTAGAAATCATACATTTAATAGCTTTTTACCTTTTCTTAAAAGCATATAGATTTTAGGAAATAAAAGTCTACGCTTATTGTTTTTTTGTTCTTGATAAAGAAGTGTACACCATTATTCAAAGTCAATAAAACGAGTTTTGATATGAGCTCCAAACCGTTAGTTTGTTTTCGGACTAAATACGAATACCCCACAACAAGAATATTATGTTGCCGCAAAGTAATATCATGATAACTTTAAAGTAATAAACTAAAACTGTAGTCTACTCAAATACAGTCGAAGTTATGAGATCAAATACATTTGGTATTATGGAGTACCGGTCCTGAGTTTTCAGAGATCCCATACAAAACCAAAAATAATAATTTATAATCACTAAAATATATAAGTAAATTATGTAAAATTTTGTTTTTTTTTTTATATTAGTTATACAATTTATAAAAAGAAACAACTAATTGTTACAAGAAATGTACATCTTACATAACTTAATTAGTATATTTGTAAAAATTTTGTTTTGTTAAATATAATTTATAACTTTATTTTAAACTAAATATAAAAAAATTTAGTTCGTAAATTTTTTTAATTGTGGATCCCACAAAAATGTGAACCCCATTCAAATGTATCACAAGTATATCTTCAGGTCCGACACTGGTATTATATTAAGATTTTCTAATATAATTGACAAAAAGTTACTAGATCAAACTACATTATAATTTTACAAAAATTAATATACACTAAGAATTTCTATAAACAATATAATTTTAAATTTAATTAATATATCGATAAATTTATAATTTTTTATAAATTAATAAAAATATAATTTTGGTGTGATTTCAACATTTGTAGAAATTTTACTGTAATCATAATCTATACGAATATACGTAATGGTAATGCGATCAGATACATTTACGTTTTGTCACGCAACCTAACTATGATTAAGAATCAATAAATGTTTTCTAACTAAAGTCTTCATATATTCAACGTAGACATTATTAGAAACAAATGAGTAATAATAGGAAAAAAAAAACTCTCTTGGTAACATAAACCACCATGGAAAGAAAAAGGTGTTCAAAGTTCATGGGGTGGAGTTTCCCAACGGACCCCATCATCATTTACCCACTTTCTCCCCCAAATTTATATTCTCTCTTATCTCTCTCTCTCTCTTTCATAATTCAATCGAAAACCTCACCGATCAAAACATAAACTTTCTGAGATTTGATCATTTGGGTCTCCCTAAAAATCCCACCTTTTGATCTTTCACCTCATGGGCAACATCACCAGCAGCGGCGGCGACGGTAGACGCCGTAGAACACGGCGGAGCAACACCCTTCCAACGACAACCCCTCAACCACCACCACCACCTCCTTCTCTTCCACCACCACAACCTGAAATCCAACCTAACCGCATCGTCTTCGCCGCCGCAACACCGTATCCAAACCCTAATTACCAATACCCTGGCTACTACCCTCCTCCTCCTCCTCCAGGAACCATGCCGGTTCCGTACAACCACCACCACCACTACCCTCCTCCTTATCACCACCCTTACGGAAGATACCCTTACGGTGGACCCATGATGCCTCCACAGCTTCCCTGCGTCGAACATCAGAAAGCCGTGACCATTCGTAACGACGTTAACCTAAAAAAGGAGACTTTAAAGCTCGAACCCGACCCGGATAACCCGGGTCGGGTCCTCGTCTCCTTCACGTTTGATGCAACTGTCTCCGGAAGGTAAATAATAAAATTAAAAAAAACCAAACCTTTTTTTGATCAAAACTCTGTTTTGTCTTAAAAAGCTAACTCTTAAAATTAAAAACCAAACCTTTTTTTGATCAAAACTCTGTTTTGTCTTAAAAAGCTAACTCTTAAAATTAAAAACCAAACCTTTTGATCAAACTCTGTTTTGTCTTAAAAAGCTAACTCTTATGTTTGGACAACGAAACAGGATCACAGTCATTTTCTTTGCTAAAGAAACAGAACAATGCGTCCTCACAGCTACAAAGGAAGACACTTTACCACCAATCACAATGGATTTCGAGAAAGGGCTTGGTCAGAAGTTTAAACAGCCTCCCGGTTCCGGTATAGATTTGTCGGTTTTCGAAGATACTGAGCTGTTTAAAGCGGTGGCTGCGGAGACAGATGTGTATCCTTTAGCGGTTAAGGCGGAAGCAGTTACTTTAGAAGGAGAAGAGAGTGTGGAGGAGTGTAAGAATGCGCAGATTACACAAGCGGTTTATGAGAAGGAGAAAGGAGAGGTTAAGATAAGAGTGGTGAAGCAGATACTATGGGTTAATGGAACTAGGTATGAGTTGCAGGAGATTTATGGGATTGGGAATACTGTTGGTGGTGATGATGGTGAGGGTGATGATGATGGTAATGATCCGGGGAAAGAGTGTGTTATTTGTTTGTCTGAGCCACGTGACACGACTGTTCTTCCTTGTCGACACATGGTAATAATAAGATCAATGTTTTTTGTTTTGTTGTTTTGAGAATGATGTTTCTCTTGTGTACTGATGTGGAAGGTGTTTTTTGGTTTTGTGGTGTAGTGTATGTGCAGTGGATGTGCTAAGGTGTTGAGGTTTCAGACAAATCGATGTCCGATTTGTAGGCAACCTGTTGAAAGACTTTTGGAGATACAAGTTCATGGTAATAGTGGAAGTGGGAACAATACTGAGCAAGGAGGAACAGGTGAACAAGAGTAGACAATCACGGATAGAATGGACTATCTTCCATGGACCATTTATTATATGTATGCAATGTTTGATCCATGTGTTAACATGTTAACAATAAAAACGTCCTGATGATTGTCAATTTATAATATAGAAGTTTCAAAGTCTTTTTGATTCATAATCACTATCCTTCAGTATTATTGGATACAATAACAAACAGGCAGTTTTTCTGAAGCATCATTCATAGATATTTGAAGCAGTCACTATTGAGAATTTGGAGTATGTAAATGCAGTTTGGCTTGTTGGAACAATGGAGGAAAAGCTCTATCGGAACATGAATATCAAAGTTATTTATTCTCACAGACCAAACAGTAAGCTTGACGAGACATCGACATGGACATGAGTGAAAATAATTACATAAATTTAGTAAACTTAGTAAGATTTATATTCATCATGTATGGACATGAACAACATGGAAATAACTCAATTGCAGGAATTAACCAACTTCAATAGTCTTGACACTCGTCGAATCACACAAAGACAGCAAGAAGCAAGCACTCACACACATTGACTCGGGTAAGAAACGGTAATAGCAACGGCAAGAGAGAGTACTGATGGGTCCGGTCCTTTCGTGTTCCATCTCATTACTTCAGTACACTGCAGAGGACAAAGATTTTTTACGTTAAATAAGCTCTTTTTCACTGTATTTGATGCAACTCTTTTGTATGAGAAACTTACTTGTATAAGTATGCAGCGATACCAAGAACAATACACAACAAAACAATATCGATGCAGAAGTTCCGGCTTGACCTCAGCTGCAGTAATAAAGAAGGAATCAACAACAGGCCAATGTGACTGAGAGTTTGAGAGAAAAGTTTCAAGGCTCAAAGATCACCTGGTTCACAGTATCTTTAAGTCTAACATTGGTGTTCTTAAGATCTGAGGTTGCTCTGTCCACCTGTGAGAGAGTTCACTAAGTTCAGATAATACACAACTAATAAAATTTAGAGAAAGGAAAGGAAACGGGCGGTGTGTTCTACTACCTTGGAGTCGATTTCATCCATCAGAGGAACTTGCCGATCCAGCTCCTGCATGTATAGAGTGTTGTGAGCAAGTACTGAATAAGTGAAGTGTGTTACTTTAACAGACTCACCTCGTTCATATCAGACGCCATATTCTTCAAAGCATCTAAACCTTCGGAGATCATGTCCAGACCTTGGTCCTGATAAAATACTCAAGTAGACAAAGTCATATATAGATACCACTGAGAGCTTAAGTGAACAAAAAAGTGTCACTTGCCTGTTTAATTCTCCGCATCTCAAACTCCTGTCTGAATTGGCTAGATTCATTTGATTCTTGAAAGTAATCATCATCAAAACTACGCCCATCTAATATCCACAACAAAGATGATTTAGTGATGATGCTGTTGAGGGAGTCCAATCACTACTATACAATAAAGAAACAAAAGTTTGTTGTGTTGAATCAATCACCTGAATCAAATTTAATATCAGGACGAGATGCTGTTGAGGGAGCCCAAGCACTGGTGCTTTTAGGACCACCAGCTGTTCCATCTGGTATGGCTTCAATCCTTGCCGGAAGCGCAAGTACCAAATCATTTCTAGCAGCAATCTCTTCTGTTGTAAGGCCCTTAACCTAAGCAATGCAAAGATTGTCACATGTTAACTCTTCAGTCAATGGACAACCATCTGAACACCAGAAAAAATAGACTAGATTGGCCAAAACTAAATGTAGAAACTAATTGAACAAAGAGATCAATGCACAATTCTCTCAATATCGGTTTGTCTTTTATTAGAAATCTCTTAAATAGATTACACTCTTTGTTTAATCAGATTGACTCGACTTCACACTGAATAGATACTGACCAATTTCTAATCCACGCAACCTTAATCTTACAATTAAGTTTGCCGACTTCTTAAACCTTGTTCATCCTCACAAAACTCTGTTTTTTTTCTGTCTGTAGAGCAAATTTCTCTAGCCTAAATTGTCTTAATTAATCGAGATAAACTTCACCTGGTCTAAGATAAGTTCGAATCTCTTGATTCATCCTTATCACTAATCTAAAGTATTATTGCCAAATCGTGTCATTAACAACGTACACTAATAAGCTCATGACAGTTAGTGTTCAAAAACCTCAAATTTAGTCCTAACACTAAACCACCATTCTCTCTTTCTCGGCCACCATATTTACAATCATTCCGAAAACAAGAACCTGAGCTAGTCTAGAACCAACATAGCTGATCCATGAAGGGAGGGAAGACTCAGAGAAGCTATACCCGCTTAAGAGCAAGTCTCTGCAACTTGGGAACTTCCTCAGACAATCTAGCCTTCGTCCTTCTGATCTCAGCGTTCATCGCAACAGCAGAAGCTCTGTTCTTCTCCTTAGTAACAAGTTCAGCTTTCTGCAAAACCAAATGCAAAAAAAAAAAAAAAAACTTTCATTCCCATCATATAAAAGTTTCATCAGAATAATGCAAAGCTTCCACCTTTCAATTCCATACACGAAAAAATAACAAACTTTATGTGCCAACATTGTATAAAGCACACAACTTTGAATCCAATTATGTAAATAGGTAAGTATTACCTCGAGAGCAGTCTCGATTTGGGTCTCAAAAGCTCCATAGAGACGAGCGAAAGCATCATCCCCGGAGACATTGGCTTCTCGCTGTTTATCGACATCGTACTTGTCGTACTTCTTACAGATGGAGTCAACTCTAGTCAGAATATCGATCACTGTCATCTTCTTCTTACGGATCTAAAGGGTATATACAATCTCTGTGATTCGAAGACTTTCGCTTTTTGTGAATTTTTTTTTAATCTGTTTGTGTCCTGATGAATGCTTGGAGAGAGTGGTTCGGCTGAGGACAAACAAAAGAGCCGGCAAGAGAATTGCATGTAACAGCCTGGAAGAATATTTATTTTATCACTACCCATACTTTTATTTAATTTACAGGTTTGCCTCTAATGTTTTTATATTGCTTCATTAATTCATCGACGGTAGGGGTGAGCATTCAAGTACCCATTCGGGTTCAGTTCGGGTCCATTCAGGTTTCGGGACTAAAGATTTCAGCCCCATTCAGATATTTATAAATTTCGGTTCGGGTTCAGTTCAGATCTTAGCGGCTTCGGTTGTGATTCGGATAACCCATTTAAATTATTTTGAAAATTTTAAAATTCATATAAATTTTAAATTTCCCCAAAACCAAAAAAATAAAAATAATATATAACATATATATTTGAGTAATGTGTACTAAAATATCTAAATTGATTTGGATTGAATATTTGGATAGAGATTCAATAGATATTTTTGTATTTTATATATTTATTTTTGACTAGTTGTATATATTTTTAAATATTTTGGATATTAAATATAAAAATAACTAATATATTTGATTCAAATATATTCTCGATACCCGAAACATTTCGGTTTGGATCGGATTTGGTTTCGGTTCTCTAAATACTAAAATATTGAATCTGTTCGGATATTTAATCAGTGTTTGATTTTGGTACTACTTTTTCGGATCGGATTTTACTCGCTTTTTCGGTTTCGGATTTTTTGCCCAGCTCAAATTGGCGGTGGTCTCTATTTATTTATCACTACCCTTGCTTTTCTTTATTTTACAATTATCGCCTCTAACGTTTTTATATTGCCAAATTAATCCAACGGCGGTGGTCTCTATTTATTGACTGCTTGAATCTTTTTTTAAGAAATGTTTTAGACTCTTACCAACTGTCTCCGGCTACTGGTGGTGATCTCTCGGAGCTCCGAAGCGTAGCCATGGCGGATGAATTCTCTGTAAGATCTGATCTGATCCTCTCTCTGTCATCTTCTTCTGTTTCCTTGTTCCAACACTGAGATCAAATCTCCCTCGTTACTCACGATGAATCGCTAGATCTGCATTTCACTGTGTTTAGATTCGGCTTTGGTCTGATGATTACACTCTGATCTTCTTGGTTTAATTGCATATGAATGTTCCGGTTCTGAGATGGAGATTGTGAGCATTTCGGTTCATTCATGTGATTGGTTGAACCAAAGTTTTTATTTTTAGATATTATTATTACATGCATATTTGAACATGTATTGGTCTCCGTGGCTATTGGTAGTGTATAAACACTAAGTTGTTCTTCGTGGTCATCAACTAAACTGACTATAAAATTGTGAAGTTAGCTTTAGGATGTGTCTGCAACGTTTATCATTTTCTTACAGCATGAAAAAAACCCGAACATTGTATGGAGAATAAGCATCTATTTTTTGTGTTCTGTCCTCTAGCTTGATCTTGTTGTGTTCTTCTTGCATGTTTTTTTTTTTTCATTTCGAAGTTGCTATGTAAAAAACAATGAAAGAGGGAAAATTGAGAGGAAAGGCTAGTTAGGTTTGTTTCCATCTGTGTCTGTAACTTTTCTCATTTTCTTACAGCATGAAAAAACCGAACATTTTATGGAGAATAAGCATCTGTTTTTTTGTGTTCTGTCCTCTCGCTTGATCTTGTTGTGTTCTTCTTGCATATGGATTTTATTTTGAAGTTGCTAAGAAAAGAAAACAATGAAACAGGGGAAAATTGAAAGCAAAGGGCTCAACCCGGGACTGATCGTTCTTCTTGTGATTGGAGGGTTGCTAGTGACGTTCCTTGTGGGAAACTTCATACTCTACACATACGCGCAGAAGAATTTGCCTCCGAGGAAGAAGAAGCCGGTTTCCAAGAAGAAGTTGAAGAAAGAGAAGCTGAAGAAAGGCGTTCAAGTTCCTGGCGAGTAGTTTTTTCTTCTTGCTATCTTTAGTTGAGTTTATCCTTGTGCTTGCTCACTTTGCACGACTAGACCTTTACATGACTCTTTTTAGTTTTGAATGTTTCCATATTAGCATTTGATGTGTTTCTTGTGCTGACAATGAATTCTCATCTCTATTCTCTATATGCTTTGCTGGGGTAATGTCATGTCGAGTTTGATATAGCTTTTGATGTGCTTCTTTATTGATGGTGTATAACTCAATGACGAATTGCAGAAAAATACTAAGTGTCTTGTTTTTTGGTCGAAAATAATACAGAAAAATACTAAGTGTCTTGTAAAGAATACAGATCAACAGAAAACAAACTGTAAATATTAAACTGAGATTATCCTTTGCATTTCACTTAGAAAAGTCAACGGTGTTACACAAGATATTTAGAAGTCAACGGTGTTACACAAGATATTTAGAAGTCTACAAATCCGCAATCACTAGCTATTCTACTAAACCTAACAAACTAATCTCTAGTCAAGTCATGAAGAAGACTTCGAGTAGTCTGGGATTCTTCTGAATTATTACCAACCACCTTGGTATGAAATGATGATATGAACCTTCAGAGATGGATCCTTTTGGTGTTTGCTAGATGGAGTCTATACAAGAACTTACTATGCAGAGTTTAGTGATGACGATTGGGGATTATGTGAAGTTGTTACTTTTATTAAACATGAATAGATGACTCCATAGGTCGTTTCATCCCAATGATTGGCTTCCTTTCCTCTTTATCACTCCATGAGACTGAGAGATCCTGGTTCATGTCTTGTTCATGCTCATCATCTGAGGAAACACCAAACAAATTTGTTAAGCTGTGAGTTCGACCAATAGGAATTCTCAAGCAAGTGGACGGAATATATGTTTAGTCATGATGACATATAGATAATAAGCAAATGTACCTGAACGGTCCAAGAGGGGAAACTCAGTGAGTCTTCTAACGCAGACCTTAAGAGCTTGGAGTTCGGCTTCTTTCTCTTGGAGTTTGGACTGAGTAGTCTGAAGTTCAGCTTCAAGCTCATTGATCTGGCCTTCTTGTTGCTCAATCAGAAGCCGGCTTAATTTCTTGTCCAGCTCTGATGCTGATATTCCACCACATTGGTACGACTCATTCACCAGATCCTTACGTTCCTCCATAACTTCACTTGTCTAATGGAAAAAAGTTTAATACAAGCTTAAACCATTGTACCTAACGAAATAACCAATAGATAAAACAAGCCAGAAAACAATAGAAACACACTAACTAACCTCAGTCAAGTTCAGCTTCAGAAGCTCAGATTCAAGTTCCATCTCTAACTGTTCCATTTCTACCGCCTCATGTTCTGGCTCTTCAGTTAGGACGCTGCTAGCATATTCTCCATTATTACCTAACTTAGTGTCGACAGATTCCCTACTCGCCATCTCTGATTTATTGAGATCAGATTTTCCAGTGGATTTCACATCCTGTAAAGCTTTTATCCTAAAAAGTTCATCTTTTAGCTCCTGAATGACTTTGACAGTTTCTTCAGTTGCTGTATTCAGCTTACTGATTTCTTTTTTCTCTGCTGACATCATGTACATCATGCAGACACCAAGTGCCGAGTTGAAAGTGGAATGATCTGAAAACATGGACGAATCAAGTGTTAATAATTAACAGAAAACGCCAAAAGGAATAAGATGACTTATTACTCTATACACAAGATCTATTTTGTTGGAATCAACTTAAAAATAATAGATTATAGATGAATAAACACAAAGCTACTGCAACAAACACATCAACGTGACACGCAACCAATCCTCAAATCACTTGCACAAACGATATTGACAAACATCACAATTGCTTACGGACACTTTAGTAAAGAGAAGTAGCACTTGGAAACACACATAGATAAATGCTTATTCCTCTCTATGGAAGCCTACCACATTAACGATTGCCCCATCTTATTCAATCTACTGTTCATACTTCATACAACAACAAGAGTCTCTTGCAGTCCTACGATACCTAGAGGTCAGAAAGTTTACCCATACAGAGTATTATTATCACTCAAATCTCTACGAGTCTATGAAAACAAAACCTAACAAATGCCCCTGAAACAATTTCCCCTATAACTAACGCAACTATGAGCTATTAACTAAGATGTAAATTCAAATGTTCACACCATGCAAGTGATCTTTAATCTAACCACTTGCTTCTTCATGCGCCTGCACCAATCTAGATTACAACGATATCTACATTAATGAAATAATCAGAGTTTCAAAAAGGGAAAACCTTGATTATTATTAAAACATGACCCACGTTTTGAATTAGAGTCATCAGCATTCAAAGTTCGCGGCTTTTTCAAGCAAACACTTCCAGATCGCTTCTCGATCTCAGAGCCACCACCATTGCTTTTCTTCTTCTTCATCTTCTTATTCTTATGCTTCATCAATCCACGAATCCTAACCTTGCACGATGTAACCCCTGTTGAACTCTTCCTAAACCCGGATCCGGACTCTGCAGACCCGGAACTAGAAAACCGGAAAACGCCATTGGTTTTCTCGCAAGGAGAGCCGAGAAACCCGATACCTACGGGAGGAGTGACCTCTTCTCCGTGATCCTCGGGAAGAAGACGAGAGTGTGGAGAGAAAGGGTTGTTGAAGAAGCGTTTGGCTACAAGACCAGTGGATCCAGCAATTGCTGCTCCTACAATAACTTGCCACATCTCTCTTACACAATTCCTAAAGCCGAAAGTAGATCAAGAGAGAGAGAGCTGAGACTGAAGTGCATAAAACGACACAACAGGAGTCGGAGATAGTCCCGAGGAGACAGAGAGAGAGAGAGAGTGAAGAAGAAATGGAGATTTTTTTTTTCTTGTTTTAAAGCGGCGGTGGGTCAGACTATCACATGTTTCCCGCTTTTCAGACCAGTTTTTCCAAATTTTATTGATTTCTTACCAAACTCACTAGATTTAAAAAAAATTAGGGCTTCTGTCGTATCGTACATTTCCCCAAAGAATCTGTTTTAGTTGGGCTTGTAGGCCCATTTAGTTAGTAATCATTTGGCCTTGTTTTGCTTTAAAGATGATAAATGACGAATTTGCCCTTTTAGTATTTGAAAACGACAAAATTACCAAACCCTAAGTGTGTTAAACCCTTCCATAACCTGAAGGAGAGACCTTGGTTCTTCGCTGCCGTCGCCAGTGTTTACTGCCGGAACTTCTCCGTTCATTGGAAGATGGAGAAAAGTGCTAATTTTCTGTTTGGTGGAACAAACTTCAATAGGAAGAAGTTTGCTCCAGATTTCGCCAAGTTTAAGGTTTACTTCTTTCTCTCGTCTTACCCTTGTCTTTTAGAATCAATCATCATCACCTCTGTTTCTTCTAAAAATCTCCATTGCTGTGTGTTTAGAATCGTAAGGAGGAAGATGATGATGATGATTCCAATAAGAAACTGAGCTCCTTTGAGCAAGAGAAGCCTGAGCAAGAGCAGAGAGTCTCCTCCTCCTCTAAGAAAAGGAAACGAAAATCTGCTAATTCTGGTAAAGTCTGAAAAAAATTAATGACTGTTTAGTTGTGGTATAACATTGTCTGATGGAGCTTTTGTATTTTGTCGGGAAAATAGAGCCTGTGGAAGGGTTTGATGTGTTCAAGAGCTCAAAGAAGGCACGTTCTAAAGGGAAAGAGGTTGAACAAGACGCAAAGGATGAGACTTTAGAAAATCCCAAGAAGGAATTTTATAGGAGAATGGAGGTATGGAGTTTTGTTTTAATTTTTTTTGTCTCTGTTTCATTAAAAGGCAGAGAGTGTGATAGTGTAAGATGGCTTTGTTTGATTATGGCAGCAAGATGCTTTGGCAAGGAAACAGTACAATATTCATGTTTCTGGTAACAATATTCCACCCCCACTTAAGAGCTTCACTGAGTTGTCAACTAGGTGCGTGGAGTCTGATTTTATCTTCACAATATTTTTTGATATATTATGCTCATAGGATTAGTAGTTTGAAGTTAAATTGGTAACTCTTTTGTCCATTGACATGCTTTATCTGTATGTTGTGTTTGAAATCTTGTTACAGGTATGGTTGTAAGAAATACATATTACGCAATTTGGCTGAACTTGGATTTAAAGTGCCTACTCCAATCCAGAGGCAGGCTATTCCAATTCTCCTATCGGTATGATCTTTATTCAGTCGTTTTCTTTATTCATTACGGTAGAGACACTTAGGTTGATGGGGAAACATAAGAGATAGAATCCTTTCATGAGGTATTGAGTTGTCTTTTTGCTTTAATGTCAGGGTCGTGAATGCTTTGCCTGTGCTCCAACTGGGTCAGGAAAGACCTTTGCTTTTATTTGCCCCATGCTTATAAAACTCAAGGTATGAAACTCTCTTTACGCTATGACCCTCCAGATTTCACAAATCTCTTGAATCATGCTTATGAGTTTTAACTTTTTTTTGTTGTTGTTTCAGCGTCCTTCAACAGATGGTATTAGAGCAATTATCCTCTCTCCTGCACGAGAACTAGCTGCTCAGACAGCTAGAGAAGGAAAAAAGCTTATTAAAGGAAGCAAGTTCGCCATCAGATTAATGACTAAACCCCTCGTCAAAACTGCCGACTTCTCGAAGCTGCAGTGTGATGTTCTCATATCAACACCGTTGCGTCTTAAAAGAGCCATCAAGGCTAAAAAAATTGACTTAAGCAAGTAAGTCAGGATCATTTATTTCGAAATTGGAAACATGTGTAGTTTCTATTTGTGTTATGTCCATTTACCTCAATCTCTGTTGAATACAGGGTGGAGTATCTTGTCCTTGACGAATCTGACAAGCTGTTTGAGCAGAGCATGTTGAAGCAGATAGATGGCGTGGTTAAGGCTTGTTCAAACCCTTCAATCATACGGTCATTGTTCAGTGCTACTTTACCTGATTCTGTTGAGGAACTTGCACGTTCCATTATGCATGATGCTGTTCGTGTCATCATTGGCCGCAAGTGAGTATATATAATCTTGATTCTGACAGCTTATTATATATCTTACATTTAAACATTTATACAGGAACACAGCATCTGAAACCGTCAAGCAAAAGCTGGTTTTCGCTGGAACTGAAGAAGGGAAACTTCTCGCTCTTCGGCAAAGCGTTGCACAGGTAAAGTTCACTTACTTAAAACAGTATTAATCAAATGTTACCTTTTTGTAACTACTTTTCTACATGTCATTAGAGTCTGAATCCACCGGTGCTGATCTTTGTGCAAAGCAAAGAACGAGCAAAGGAACTCTACGATGAACTGAAATGTGACAACATCAGAGTCGGTGTCATTCATTCAGATCTCCCTCCAGGAGAAGTAAAAAAAAAACATCATCTCTCTCACACATATGAAATGTATATAGATTGTATGAGATGATTCGAACTAAATAACTAAAACCATTGTATGTTGCAGAGAGAAAACGCGGTTGATAGTTTTAGAGCAGGCGAGACGTGGGTTCTGATTGCTACTGATGTGATCGCTAGAGGTATGGATTTCAAAGGGATTAACTGCGTGATAAACTATGACTTTCCGGATTCTGCTTCTGCATACATCCACAGGATTGGTATGTACATTTTTCCTCCACTTCTTGTGTACTTTGCTTCTCTTCTTGTGATTATTATTCATTTGAAACGTTGTTATAGGTCGATCAGGGAGAGCGGGAAGGAGCGGTGAGGCGATAACGTTCTACACGGAGGAAGATGTGCCTTACCTAAGGAACATAGCCAACACGATGACATCATCAGGCTGTGAGGTTCCGTCGTGGATCTTGACTTTGAAGAAGAAGAAATGGAAGAAGCATAGGCCAAAGCGTGAATCTATATCCATTCGACCTAAAGACAGTAAAATCGAACAAGCAGAGTAACTTCAAAAAATTTGGTTGCTGCATTGACTATTACTTCTTTTTTTTTAAGTTAATTTTGTATTTTTATAATTTTATGTTTCAAAGTTTTGATAAGAGGTGTGAATTCTAAGATTTCCTGTTATAACTTCAAAAGAAATTTCTTAAATTATGAAACAAGTTTGGATTTTGGAAATAGCTTTGCTGTTCTATACAACTTTGTCTTATACATATCTTATATATGTAAGAAGATATGTGCATTGGGTAAATGTCTTTTCTCGAAAATAAATATATATTTGGCATTAGCAAGATAGAAATGCATACATTAATAAAAAATGTAAGATATTATAGCTCAGTGGAGTTCATAAAAATATATATATCGAAGCATATACCACAATGACCACACGGCTGGTATGTATCATCACATATGTAATAGAATATTGATACTATTATTCCATTAACAAACGATCATGGCGTAGATAGACGCTGCTAAATGATTAAAAAGGTTTTTTGAGATTATTTGCAATTCTGCGTTGTGATTAGATTCAGAGAATACACAAAAAGATACAATCACGTTCTCATACATGTGTGTTTTTGGAGTTAACAAAAAATATCTAATAATACTATGCAATTCTTCTTGTTAAAGACTTAACAAAATTGTATTAGGCATATAACTTTTAGCAGGTGAAGGATTTAAATCATTGATTGTTTGATACAATAATATTGTGACAGAGTAACAATCAGATCAATAATATCATTACCAATGTTTAAAATCAATGTCTTAATAATATTGTTTTTGTTTACATTTCATATAATAAAAAGTCGTTAGAAAAGTAGATATAAAAAAAAGAGCGGCAAGCTGTTAGTGGGGTCTCACACAAATAATACTAACTGCTTAAAGAGAGGTGATGACAACGTGAGGAGGATCTCTTTTCAACTTAGCAAAGATCAAAAGAGTCGACCATTTCAAATTCTTATTAGCATTTTAATTTTCCAAGAAAGTCGCACATAACCATTGAGAGAGGCTTTATCCCAGCAAAAAAATGGTCAAAAAAGCGAAATGGTTGAAGAACGTTAAGAAGGCTTTTAGCCAAGATTTGAAGGTATCAAGTTTTTTTTTTTTTAATTATGTTTTACCTATTGAGCTTAGCTTCACATATTTGATGTAACATGTTCTTGTATCTTTTATTGTATGTTTTGATTACAGAAACTGAAACATAAATCGGTTGAGTATCAGAATAGTGAGATCTCTTATCCTGTATTAGTAGCTTCATCCAGAAGTTCTCCTCCTCAGTTTGAAGTCAGAGTTGATAAGGTCAAAAATAAGAAGAAACTCTACGCTCCTCCTCCTCCACCTCCAGAAGAAGAAGATGATATTGTAGATTCACTTCCATCTTCTCCTGAGTTTGTTCCTCCAAAAGCTAATAGGTTTGTGGGAAAGTCAAAGGAAGAGGCAGCAGTCATCTTAATCCAGTCAACATTTAGAGGACATTTGGTATGTTTAGAATCAAATAGTTTTGGAAGACTCTTTTATCTAAGTATAACCTTAGATTTTATGATTTATAACAATGCTAGGCAAGAAGAGAGTCACAGGGGATGAGGAGGTTGGTCAGACTTAAGTTATTGATGGAAGGATCGGTTGTACAACGGCAAGCTGCACATACACTTAAATGTATGCAGACTCTGACACGTGTACAGTCACAGATCAGGTCTAGGAGAATCAGGATGTCAGAAGAGAATCAGGCTCACCATAAGCAACTCCTTCAGAAACATGCCAAAGAGCTAGGAGGCTTGAAGGTCTCACTTAATGCATTAGATTGTGAAACAACTTGTATTTATTATATTCATAGTCATAAGACTTATTCTTCTTCAGAATGGGGGTAATTGGAATGTCAGCAATCAGTCCAAGGAACAAATCGAAGCAGGGTTGTTGAATAAGTACGAGGCCACAATGAGAAGAGAAAGGGCATTGGCTTATGCATTCACACATCAGGTACTTTCATGTAGAGGTCTCTCTGAATAATCAGTCCTTAGATGCTGCTTAAAAGTCTTGAGGCCTATGGTCACTAACTATAACTTAATAACATATGATTTGGTTTACTGCTTAGTAATAATATATGGTTCATATTTGTAGCAAAACTTGAAGGGAAACATGAGATCTGCAAACACAATGTTCATGGATCCTAACAACCCGACTTGGGGATGGAGCTGGTTGGAAAGGTGGACGGCTGACAAGCCATGGGAGAGCTCAGAGAAAGAACAAAGCAAGAACGAGAAGTCAACAGTTAAGACCTCAAACAAACCTAACACCCATGGAGTAGAAACAACAAAACCTTCAAACCGTAAAAAACTCAATAGCGTGACTCAACCCAACACCCCATCATCATCAACCACAAGAAAACCAAGAAAGACCCCAACCCAACCTTCCATAAAGTCCAAAACCACTGATGAAATCACCAAGAGCTCAGAGAAGAACCGTAAGCACATCATTGCAAAGTCATCAGTTAGTGATGACGAGGGCTTAGCTAGCTCAACCGCTCGTGTTGCCACAAAACCAACACGAGGCAAGCTCAAGGGTCAAAGCTCGTCAGGGGTCACGGCAAGTGAAACCAAAGAGGAAAGTAATGGTGTTTTACCGGAGAAAACACCAGCAAAGAAACGGGATTCTCCTGTACCCAAAGCTAGACGATCCTCAGCCTCACCCAAGGTTGAAAACAGCGTTCTAAAGAAGGTGAGAACACCGTGTGACTAACCAAAGTATTTTTATTGTTCACCGTTGCACGTTTATAAATTTTTGCGCCAAGGATGATCATGATGGTGTTCTGAGATTTGTATCAACTATATTCAAGTGACGCAATGTTGGTTATAAGAATGTGTCATGATGATTTATTTGTAATCTGTAAGTCTCTGTCAATCATAACATTTCCTAATGTACTTCAAGGTTACATTGTCGAACAGATAATATAGTAGAACTTCTATAACTTAATATTTGATAAATATCTTTATAAAATAATATAATTTTATAATTTTAAATTGAGTTTTTGATTCGATTATTATATCGATAAAGATTAAATCTCTTTAAATTAATAAAAAATTAAAATTTTGGTATAGTCTCAATATTATTAACATATTGAGCAGCGCAGCTGATATGCAGCTACATACTTAATTTTCAAGAGTTAAGCCATTTCACTAATGCTGGAAATGAAGCCAGACCAGATGGATACCAATTTATTTTTGCTCATTCGAATCAAACCATACAAAGAAATCTGAAAACCGAATCAAAACCGGTTTCTCACTTTTCATATCGAAAGTAAATGAAAAAAACGTCAAAATATCTTTAAGAACATAGAAAAACGATTCAAGCTAATATATTTTGTGAAAACAAATCGAATTCAAACCGGATTTATATCACATTTCGAGATTTGATATAAAAAAAAAACAGTTAACCGAACCAAAACAAAACCGGAAGTTGGTTTGGTTCGGTTATCTGAAAAACCTACTTAAAAGAGTTGGAAGGTTTCAACTTGTGTTTTGGCAACGTTCCAGGTGTAATCACAAAGGAAGTAGCCGAAACCCTAAATCATCCAACGTTTGAAGAGTTGTGTTAACTATCTCATCAGATCACTTCTCAAATCTCTCTCCCGACAATGGTAAATTTGACATGGCGTCTTTTTCTTATTTTGTGTTTCTTCAACTCTTTTATCGATTGATTCTGGAAAAAAATCATTTGATGATTGAAAGCTTCCATCTTGATTCGACTAGAGTGTCTTTTAAGTATCTCCCTTTTTTTTTCTTACAATGATATGTTTAGATCATGTTTATTGAAGGAATCGTAGACTGGGGTTCTTAGCGGAATTTAAGATTCGTCTCTTAATTTTTAACTAAAACCGTTACTCTTAAATAAGAGTTTTAGGAGTAGTTTCTTGGCTTTTTTTAGTTCAAAGTTAAGGGACGGTTCTTAAATTCCGTTTAAAAGCTTTAGGAGTGGATTCTTAGCTTTTTTTTAGTTCAAAGTTAAGAGACGGTTATTAAATTCCGTTTAAAAGCTTTAGGAGTCGGTTCTTAGCTTTTTTTAGTTCAAAGTTAAGAGACGGTTCTTAAATTCTGCTAAGAACTCTACGCTAAGAACCCACCATTAAGCATGCTCTTAGTGCTTGTGCTTTCCTTTTTTGTTTGCTCTGTTGTGTCACTACTAAAAAGTTCTTTATAGTTCATATTCTCTTAGTTGATGGGATGTTGTTGACTTAGAGATGATTCTTTGTGCTTTCCAGGTTGTACCGATAATTGCAGGTGTTGCTGTTGCTGCAGCTGCTTATGCTGGTAAATACGGAATTGAGGCGTGGCAAGCTTTCAAGGCAAGACCTCCAAGGCCTAAGTTTCGCAAGTTCTACGAAGGTGGTTTCCAAGCTGCTATGACTCGGAGAGAAGCTGCTCTCATTCTCGGTGTTAGGTTTGTTTCTTTGTGTCTTTGCCCTCACTTATATACTCTGGTAATTAAGAACTGACTTACTTGGAAGTTCGTAGTGTTGATGATATGGTAACTACTAGTAGTAATCTTGGCTTAGAACTCGTGTTTCTTTCTCTTCCGCTAGATTTTGACGCACTTCTCCTTCTGCTTATATAGTCTGTATGGTATTATTACACTCTAGTGCTCTAAGGATAGCTTAATGAAGATTCGTTCTGCTTCTTCATTTCTTATAGAAAGGAACGAACTATGTTAACGTTTGTTTAGGTTCTTAATTGGCAAATGATCGTCAATAGGCAGCGTTAGCTATGCCAAAACTAGTTTTTAAAGAAGTTTGTTTGGTCTTAGAGGTTTTGAACGTTACCTGAATTCAGCTCGTTTAATGCATAGCTGTTAGCTATTTTCTTACTCATAACGTTTCCAGTAGATGTGATATTATTGTGGCTTGACAATCTTTTGTTACATACGGTGGGTATGAACAGGGAGAGTGTAGCGGCAGAAAAGGTGAAGGAAGCTCACAGGAGGGTGATGGTGGCTAATCATCCAGACGCAGGAGGAAGCCATTACCTTGCGTCCAAGATCAACGAAGCTAAAGACATGATGCTTGGCAAAGGCAAGAGCTCTGGCTCTCCGTTTTAAAACCTTTTGGTGTGATTGATTGATCCCATCGACAAAAGCCAATGTGGTTTTCTGAGTTATTGGTCGATCATGAAGGGTGAGCAGACATTGATGTCTGTTTCCTAGCTAGATTAGAAGTAGGAACCAAGTTGGAAGTCACTCTAGTTCAGTTATCTAATTATGTTTTTTTTGGACAAAATTTATCCTTTAGATTGAATAATTGATTGACTGGTTGGGATATAGCTAATGACCTTAGCTTTAATTTCAATCCACAACCAAGTTATCAATCATGATTCATCTAATTTTCAAAGTTAAAGTCAAAAATTTTAAAAAAATACAAGACATAATTCTGCAGTAAAATTTTTATAGCTATATCCCAATCAATCACTCCCTAAGTGTTGGCAAATTCGAGTGTTAATAGAATCTGATCTGAACATATTTTTTAGTAGTAATGAATGACATAAGTTATCAAAAATATTAATAATAGAGAAATACACTGATAATACAAAAATACGTTTGTTCCAAAAAAAAAAAAATAGTGTAAATATTAAATTATTTGTACTCAACTTGACTGATTCAATCCACCATACAACTGTCGTCTCGTAAACGACCCAATTTAATAAGAGTTGTGTATGGAAAAAACTCTTTAAAGTCGCACTGATGATTGTCGCGGGCCGACACGACCCAATAAACGAAGAACAAGTTTTCATGGGGGGGGNGGGGGGGGGGGGGGGGGGGGGGAAGAAAAACTCTCATGAAATCACCACTCACGACTTGTTGTTACTAGCAACCGATAAAAAGAGACAATCATGAGCCAACACTGTAAGCTCTCCAATCATGACCACTTCTTGCAATTGGTTATTCGACGTCTTCCCTAGCTTCAGCGGAGAAGATGTCCGTAGAACATTCCTCAGCCACCTTCTCTTAGCATTCGATCACAAACTAATCACTTGTTTCAAAGACAACGAGATCGAGAGAAGCCAGTCTATAGGCTTGAAGCTAGTACACGCGATCAGAGATTCAAGGATCGCGATCGTCGTTTTCTCCAAGACATACGCCTCTTCCACCTGGTGCTTGAACGAGTTGCTGGAGATCGTCAGATGCAAAGAAGACAAAGGGCAAATGGTGATTCCTGTGTTCTATGGTTTAGACCCATCTCATGTTAGGAAACAGACAGGCGAGTTCGGAAAGACGTTTCAAATGATTTGCAAGAACAGATCAGATGAGTTGCCGGTTCGGTGGAAAGGAGCTTTGACACTTGTAGCAAATATCCATGGATATCACTCCAACAACTGGTACAAACTTTTTCACTTCTTGATACTTGTCATTAGGTGTAGACATTTTACCTGACCCGAAACCGGAAATTTACGAGTATCTAGATAGGTACAAATTTCCTTTATCCGAAAAAACTGATCCGAATAGATCTGAATTTTGTAAAGAACCGATCAGAATAGACCTGCTCGATAAGATTGATTCATACCAACCTACAAACATGAATACTATGACTTAGTATTTTTATATTTTAATCAGACATGTTTTTATTTTTATATTTTAATTTTCCGTTGTTATAATGAATTTTTGTTTGCAGAGTTCATTATTATTTTTGCAATATTCTCAAGTAATATGAAAAAATGTTAAATTTAGAGGTTAAAAGTACTAATTTCAACTAGTTTTTGATCCGTGCGCGCGGAGGTTTGTTTTACATAATCATATATTTTCAAATTTTGAAATTAAATGCTATGAATTTAATTGTTTACTAGATCTTGACCCGCGCACCGGCGCGGATTTAACTTAATTTGAGAAAATGTAATAAATTCAGAACTCATCGATTATTACTGTGTTTAAGATATTGTGATCCACGTTGTATGTGGACTATCATATTGAATATAATAGGACTGGGTTGTGATTTTCGGTTCAGCTTTTATTAGGTTCTTTACGTTCTTAGTTTTTTTAGTTCTAGAAACATAGAAACTGTTTGTTTATCTATATAAATTTATTTGTGTCCGGTTCAATTTTTCGAACCAAAAAATTCGACCCGAAATTCAAACCGAAATAAAAATACCCGGAAATNAAAACGAATATTCTTAAATATTGTTAGTGACTAAAATTAATTATATTTACGATTTTAAATAAATAGCAAATCTTTGTAACAATAAATATCAGATCTTATTAAATATTGATATCTATGTTTCCAAACTTACTTATTTTAAATACTGCTATCCATGTTTCCAAACAAAAGGTTAAAGTACTTCTACTTTAATAAGATAGATGCCTTTTATGTTATAAATTCATATATTATGCTTGATTAACATTGGTGTGTCTGATTCAATATGATTAGTATTCACTTGTAAACTATGAAATTGTGTTTTATTTAGTTTATCACGTAAAATAAACGGTAAAATATTGAGGCAATTTCTCTCATGCCCCTATATCTTATTCTCTAATCTCTCCAAACGATTTTATATGTCAAACGAAAAATCATAAAATTAACGGGAAACATGAATATTTTTTTATTTGATTTATATAATTTGATAAAAATATTGCAAAAGCAAAAAAAAAAATTCATATTTACACGAAAATCATCAAAATATGATTACAAACGATTTTAAAATATATTTTTTGAATTTGATCACTATAGAATTTAAATATTTTCCCAAGGGTTCACTAATCCATAAGGGGTGTTAGGGTTTAGTTTTGAACACCGAGAAGGATTTAATTAGGGGGTTGGATTTTGATCAAAAAAAAAAGAATTATAAAATAGGGGTATAAAAGATCAACTGAGCCATAAGAGATTAGCTTTTAAGAAAATAGGGGTATGAGAAAAGTTGCCTCTAAAATGTTAGAGCTTTAAAATTGTTATTGAGTTTTATAAAATAAAAATATATTATTTAGACAAAAAAAATAATAATATGAAACCAAGTTTAAAACAACACTAAAAATGAGAAGATATTTAGTTGAACTAGATGTATAGTCCCCGCGTAAGCGCGTGGGTTAGATACGTTGTTGATGTGTTGTGTAGTTTTGTGTATGAGACTTTGTTGTTTTTTTTTTAACATTTGTTTATCTGGCTTATCTATAATGGTGATAAATGAAACATTAGAAGTCACACAACTTGATTAGTCTGATAAAAGAATAAACATTGAATTCATATGGGTTGATATTTTCATATTTTATGTCGTAGTGATTTTATCGAGTATACCCTTTATGAGTGATTTTATCGAGCATTACTGTTATTAGTGCTTTCATGTAAAAAAATAATTTAATGGAGATAAGACAAAAAAGGACATGTGTTTATTAGTGTAATTTTCTTTTTGAAATTATGTTGTATATATATATATTTTAATTGTGATGTATATGAGATTTATGGCCGATCTGAATGGTTCGGGGTAAATATTTATCATTGAAAATATGTTTTTATTTTATTTGATGATTATAACTGAATTGAAATGATATTGGAGGTTAGAACATGATAACCTTTCTTATAAAAGTATCCAAGACGATCTCATAAAGTTTCAAATCCTTAAGCCATTTTGTATCCCAACAACCAGCATAAAAAATCATTCTGAATCTCCATAAGCTTTTATGTATCCCGAAAAGCCCAAATTTAAAAAATAAAATTACATGCAAGCACTGCGTTTTGAATCCGCGCACTCGATGTACCAGCTTCTCATCACCAACTTACACCACTGGACCATTTCATCAATCATCAATAGCATTCAATCTTACAAAATGGTATACGTTTTTGTTTTCCCTAATAACACACGTGGGGCCCACAAACTTGCTGACGTGGACACGCTAAGGAACTTCAAAAGTGTACTATTATTATATAATTTATTATTAGTTTAGATTATTTGGTTATAAACTTATAATTAAAATGAATCAACACTTAACTACTATGTCCAAACTTTGTTTTCATCAAAATATATATGAATCATGTTTTAATTATATTTAATGGACCAAGTCCATAAAATATTAAATGTAGGTTTTGTTTAAAAACAAAAACAAAACAACAGTGTTTTAATTCTAGTGGTATATGATTGTAACTTTTGAAGAAAATTAAGAAATGTTTTCTATTTGTACTTCCCTTTTAATAGTTTAAAATTTATTTCTTTTGAAAACTATAGTTTCTTCTTAAATTCTGTATTTATTAACAAAAAAAAAATAAATAATGTATTTTCATTAAAACTGTTTACTACTCGTTCCGTTTTTTATTTTAAATGGTATTAGGATTTTTTTTTCAAAATATAGATAATTTTCTTACATTTATGTAACTTATACATTTACTGGATATAATGTCATAATCAAATAATGTATGTTTTTTATAATTAGTAAAATTTATTAATTAAATACTATGTTTTAAAAACATAACAGCTTTCTAACTATTAATGTTTTTATTTTAAACTATTGTTAAATGGAAGAAGTAATACTGTATGTAAACGTTTAGAAAAAACTCAGTGACAAAAACAAATCTTAGTTTATCGTATTTTGTTAATTTTTAGTAAAACCTTTAAAACCCTGAAAATAATAGAAAATTACAAAACATGCCGCTTGAGTTTGAATTCAAGTTAGCACTTTTTCTTATCTATTCCAATAAAACATAAAAACTATTATCATACAATTGTATCGTCATAAACATGTTGTCATTTAAGTATAAATAATCTCTGGAATAATTTATATATATTAAACTATTCATACAATACAATTGTTATTCTTTAAATGCATTATTACTTTTTAATATTCATACCTCTCATAATTTTAATAAAAGTGTTACCGCTAAATAGACAAAAAATAATTGAAAATATCAAATATTTATTAGAAATTAATTTTTTTTTTCAATTACTTATAACGTGTTTACCTCACCCGCCCTTAAGGCGAGTTTTACCTTAGTTATTATGTATTCTTTTTAAAAATGAGTTTGGTTCAATATATATATATATATATAACATATTTTAAAGAGGACCAATATATTTAACGATTATAGATAAATAAGAAACATATTAACTACAAAGCGGGATTTCACGTGTTGGTTGAAAAAGGTTCTGTATAATAGGAAAAAAAATTAAAGATCCAATTAGCAAGTAGATATTATTGTTATTAATGTGATAACTTTAATTTAGGAGCTTGTTATGTTTAATTAATAAGATGCTCGATGATTTTAGGAATATTTGGTGGATCTACGAACAGTTTCAAAGGCTTTGAATATACAAAATCGATAGGAAATTTGTAGTTTTATTTTATTATATGTCCAACTAAATCAATAGAAAATATGTATTCACTGATTTTTCTGTTTACAAAAATTAAATTTCAAAATCAAATTCCCAATTACCATATATTAAAATGAATGTTTCAAAATTGTATATATTTCATGTTACACATATAATCAAATGTACTGATATTCTAGCCAATTACACTGCTATAGTTATTTGGTTTATAATAAAAAATATGAAAAGTTTGAGAATGTGATGAACGAAAGATGAAACACATTTGATTGGTTTAAAAATACAAATTGTATTTTGTGTAAGCAAATCTTAATGGACTTGTTATTCATTCTTTTAACATAACATGGAAGGCTAATAATAGTTAATGAATGTGTAGATTAAATGTCAGTGGCATAATTATTTAGGAAAAATCAGGGTTAAGTATCAAATGTACTTCAGATTTAATAGTTTAGATTATAGTCTTGGCTTAATTTTTGACGGGTCTGGATAAAAAAGACGAACCTAAAACCGAATTATATGGAAAAAAATTGCGGATATTTATAGGTATAAATATGGAACCGATCCTAAAACTCACAAAGATGAAATACATATATATGTATATATATATATATATATATATATATATATATATATATATATATATATGTCTAAATCTCTAAGATTAGAAAGAACCGAATTCAAGAGAACCGACCCGAATCTGAACCGAATATATGAGTTCCCATGCATACTTGTCTTGATTATGGTTTGAGCCATCATTCTTGTCTTTATCAGGAGTAACGAAGCACATCTAATTGAAGACATCACCAACGATGTTTTGGGTAGACTTGTTGGTTTAACACCATCAATGGAGTTTGCTGACTTTGCTGGAATCGAAGATCATATGGCTAAGATGAGTTCATTGTTGCAGTTGGAATCAGAGGAAGTGAGGATGGTTGGGATATGGGGTCCCGTTGGGATTGGGAAGACTACCATTGCAAGAGCTCTGTTCTGTCGAATCTCTCGTCACTTCCAAAGTTGCATTTTCATAGACAGGGCTTTTGTAACAAAGACTATGGAAATCTTCAAGACAGCTAATCCAGACGACTACAACATGAAGTTGCGTTTGCAAGAATGTTTCCTGTCTGAGATTTTAAACAAAAACGACATAAAGATACATCATTTGGGCGTGGTTGGAGAGAGGCTAAAGCACAAGAGAGTTCTTGTAGTACTTGATGATTTGAGTGATCAAGTAGTGCTAGATTCCTTGGTTGGTGGAACTCAATGGTTTGGATGTGGGAGTAGAATTCTTGTCATTACAAAAGACAAGCATGTTCTGAGAGCTCATGGGATTGATCTTATATATGAGGTTGGACTCCCATCTGATGATCTAGCTCTAGATATGTTTTGCACGTATGCTTTCAGGGAGAACTCCCAACGCGATGGATTTAACGAGCTTGCTTTTGAAGTGGCCAAATTTGCTGGTAATCTTCCTTTGGCTCTTAACGTTTTGGGGTTGTACTTGAGAGGGAGGGACAAAGAGGATTGGTTGGATATGTTGCCTAGGCTTCGGAAAGGACCAGAAGGGAAAATCGAGAAAGCACTCAGAGTTAGCTATGATGGGTTAGGTAGCAGAGAAGATAAAGCACTGTTTGTTCACATTGCATGTCTTTTCAATGGTATGGAGACCAATGACATCAAGATGTTACTTGCGGATAGTGGCTTGGGTGTTAATATCGGGGTTAAAAACTTAATCGATAACTCGCTCATACATGAGAGCGGGAGATGTGTGCATGTACATTGTTTGGTACAAGAAATGGTCAAGGGAATCGTCCGTACACAGTCCAACAAGCCTAGAGAAAGGGAGTTCTTGGTGGATTCTAAGGATGTTTGTGATCTATTTAATGATAACTCTGTAAGTTCTCCTTTCATAACACACTCTAATACTATTGAATGAAATCTTAGTTTAGTGAGAAAAACTGTAGCCACTAGTTCAGAACTTTTTGTTATATCTCTTTTGTGTTTTCATCTTTTTCAGGGTAGTAAAAAGGTGTTGGGTATATCATTGAATCTAGAAGACTTGTATGAACTGTTACGCATAGATAAGAAGGCCTTTAGGAGATTACGTAATCTCCGTTTCTTGAGAATATACAAGGACTCACTGGACTTGCCTAAACAAGTGAGATTACATTTACCAGGAGGTCTCAATTATTTGTCCCCTAAGCTCAAGTTGCTTTGTTGGGATGAATATCCACTGCCACGTTTGCCTTCGAGCTTTCGTGCTGAACATCTTATTGTGCTCAGAATGCGGAACAGCAAGCTCGAGACACTGTGGGAAGAATTTGAGGTAAATTGAAAATAATAGTTGAGTATGCCTTGCACATGATGTGTAACCTCTACTTTTTGTTTTTGTTCAGTCATCTACAGGCCTTGAGGATATGGAGGGAGTTCCTCATTATGTTCTGATGCGCAATGAATTATTTATGAATGGCTGTGAAGAGCTGCAAACAGTTCTTCCTACCGGGATCAATCTGGAATCTCTGTATCGGCTTGATCTTAGTGGATCCTCAAGGTTTAGGACTTTTCCTTACATCTCAACCAACATCTCATTTCTTATTCTAAACCAAACCGCTATCAAAGAAGTTCCTTGGTGGATCGAGAACTTCTCTAGGCTTGTATGCTTAGAGATGTCGGAATGCAAAACGTTAAACTATATATCCCCAAACATTTCAAAACTGAAACTGCTTGAGAAGGTTGACTTTTCAAACTGTGGGGCATTGACTGATGCTACCTGGCTTGACCGTCCAAATGCTACTCACACTAAGTTACCAGCGGTCAGTTTCATCAACTGCTTCAAATTAGATCAAGAAGCTCTCATTCAACAATCAGTTTTCAAGTACCTGATCTTACCAGGTGGAAAAGTGCCTTCATATTTCACCAACCAAGCTACCGGAAGCGCTCTGGTCATTCGTCAACTTCAGAGCTCTCTCTCTCAAGAGCTCTTGCGGTTTAGGGCATGCCTTGTGGTTGACGCCAACGAGTTTCAACCCATAACCTCTAGCTGGATTATAAGTTGTCACTCCACAGGAAAAGACAGGAGCTCCTTTGGTTCCTCTGATTGTCACCTTGACATAGATTTTCCGCGTCAGATGGATAATCATCTGGTTATCTTCGACTGTTGTTTCCCTCTAAACAAAGACAATGATTCTCTAGCTGAGCTGAACTACGGTCGAGTGGATATAGAGATTAACTTCACTAGTGACTCTCGTTGCAAAATCAAAGGATGTGGTGTACGACGACTCTCTGAGGTTTGTTCATATTCGGACAAAAAACTTAGTAATGTTTGTGAAGCTGATAAAAGCAACATGGTTACTGATGAAGAGTTTGGAGAGAGCAGTGCAGAGGCAAGGAGAAGTAGGAAGCGTCTACGGGTAAGCTTTAGGCATAAATGAAACAGAAACATTACTTTATCTCAACTGAGATAGTTTTACAATAACAGATTACTGGTTTGTTTCTGCAGGTAACGGGGAAGACCATTAAAGAAAGTACGGACTTGAGCTGCAGCCAAACCGTAGAGGAACACTGGATGTATGTTTGAATCTTTGATTGCTAATCTTGGAGCACCTATTAGGTCTAGAGGTTAGACTTCTTCGACGGCAAGGTACCCTTTAGATGGATGAGGTGTTTATCTATTCTTATGGAACATCTAGAGAGCGCGAGGATGAGCACTGGTTCTTCATTGTGTTCCAAGCTGGTCACGCAAAATACTCAAGGTTTTGGAACTAATCGAAACAAGCCAACAGATATTGAGTACATTCCATAATAGCCATATGGGGCGCTAAGGCATTACTTGCTAGCTGTGCCACCAAGCTGTCTTTTGTTTAGTGCTTTTGACTGAGGCGAAGCAGCCAGTTTACACGGCGATTTCTGTGAATAAGTAGGCTTTACATAATTTCAGAAAAACGTCTTGTTTCAGACAAAATGAAGCATGTTTTTTAATTATGTATTAGCTTTCCTGATCCAAACTGAGATTGTGTATTGTCAGTGGATCATAAATTTTCTAGATTTTTGATTGGTGGGATTGTATCTGTTTCACTCAGGCTAAGTTGAACAGAGAACTAAACAAAGAAAAAAAAAATGAAACAGCTGCTTCAAAAATAAGTTATTCACTTGCACCCTCTGTAGTGCTACATGTGATCTTTAAATGAAGTATGGTCCTTTATAACCTATGTTTATATCAAATTTGGAAGTTTAAAGTTTCAACCAAGAAAGAAAAACAAGTAAGATCCTCTTGGTGTTATTTACACAGTTATTCATGATGGAACAAAGATCAAGAACAACGTGTTTCTATAGTTCTATAACTCTGTTTACTTACCCTTTGGTAGTACTAATGTTGGCTGAACCTGTCTCCCGTTGATCAGGATCATGAGTTTCTGTTTTTTCTTCTGTTACCCCGATTGGACCTTGCGGTTCTCCAAATAGAGCAGAGAATATCTGCTTGTGACACTCATCACAGAAAAAGAAGTAAGAGAAGTGTCCTTCGTTTGGTAGTCTATGTACCGTTGCTTCTGGTATGACCCGGCTAATGTAATCAGTCACTGAAGGTGGTGCAACTGGATCCTCCATACCCTAATGTGACCACAGGCAGAAATGAATAACTCACAACAACTCGGAAAAAGATCATTAAGATGGTGACTTTTGCCTACATACCTGCCATATGTGTATGGGTTTTCCAAACCCAACAAGCTCACATTCTGCTTCACTGTACATTGACATTAGCCAAGAAAGTACCCCGTTGGCTTTACACTTCTTCTGCAACCTAAAGTCAGGTAGATTAAACCCCCAGTTTGATACATGTAAAACAGCTTCTTCCACAAATGGTTTTGCAGTTCCTTGGCGTGTGGACTCTTCCACGTTCCTTTGGTAATGTTCTTCAAAGACTGGGTCTCTCATCACATGTTCGTCCTGAAGTAGAAAGTGTTTAGCTTCTGGCCCATAACTGTGAATAAGCTACTCTATAAAGACTTACCTTTTCTCCTAATGAGATTGACATCAACTGATCCAGTGGCTGGAGATAACCGGAGAGAAAGGACCTACGGTAGAAGAAAGGAAGAAGACTTGGCCACCTACGAGCCAAAAAGTACATGAACTTCCTCCTTTTTAGCCACTGCTCCCACGTTTTCGCCATCTCTTCCTTGCTCATGCTTGGCTCATATGGATTAATCATAGGAGATACCATTGCAACTCCTGTAGATTGATAAAAGACACAATGCAGTGATCATCAATAGTCTTGCCATTTTTGAACTAAAGATGAATGTTGTTACCAGCTATTCTGTCAGGAAAGTATCTCATCGCAGCCCAAGCATGCATACTGCCACTAGAATACCCAAGTAACCAAAACTTCTCAACGATCCCAAGAGCAGAAGCTAGGTCAATCATATCCGAAGCAGATGAGCTAAGGTTCCTACCACGATGAGGATCACTCTCTCCAAAACCTGGAAGATCATATGACACTAGACGCACACCATAGTCCTTTAGCAACGATTCCTTTACTCCAGGTATACCTTACATTAGAGGCAAAAAATCAGATTAGTAAAGAAGCAGAAACTGATAAAAAAGAAATTAGTTTTCTCTTTTTTTTTTTTTTACATTTACCTGCAAGACGAGAGGACATAAAAGAATGAGGAACGATTAAAGAGTATCTAGCTCTCTCAGCTGAAACACCAATCTCCTGATAAGCTAAATATCTACCGTCACGAAGCTCCACACGGCTCGCACCAGGAGGATGCGTACGTAGTTTCTTAAAAACAGGCACTGATGTTTCATTGTCTGAACCAAAACTTAATGCTACATTTGCAAAGTTGGATAATGTCAGATAAAGAAACAAACCTCTTGCACAAAACAGAATCTATACTTAGAAACAAGTAAACTACACACAAGTTCTGTAATGACTAATGGCATTGCAAGAAGAGAGACAATACCTGAGAGAGCAATAAGGAAGACGAAGAAGATAACAGGCCAAGCATGAGCAGGATCACGATCCTCAGGCAAGTACTCATTAAGAAAACTAAGCTTCTTCGATACTTTAGCAGCTGGTTCACGAAGCTTACGCACCACGACAGAGTCTTCACTCACCAGAGTCTGCTGCGCAACGTCCTTGCATCCCACGGCGAGATCCAAAAGCATCTCTCCCCATGACTTCATAAACCCCGTGACTTGTTCCTTCAAACTCTCCACCGGTTCGGATCCAGATCCATTCAGTGACGACTCGAAAGGTGTAGTGGAATCTTGATTGATGGGAGATCCGTCGTCGTATTGGAGTCCACCGTCCATGAGACTTGCTAACTCTTCTTGCCACGTAGGCACTCCTCTACTTCGCATCTCCTCCATTCACACAAAGAGAGGGAGAGGAGAGAACATGGCGAGAGTGTGAGTTGCGAACTGACACCTTTTTTACAAGCGTGAATTTCAAGCTTACCTTTTTTTTTTCTTTCTCTAACTATATTTAATTAAATAATATTACGTTTTTTAATTTAAAACGGAAATTACATAAGTCCGCCATTGACGAGCTTCTTCTTCATCTCTTTTGTTTTGTTCTTTTAATGTGTTTGTAATAAACTAATACGGACCGTTGGATCAAAAAATGCCTTTATTAAAAAAATGGACAGACGTGCATGTCGTGTTTTCGACGGAGAGGACCGGCTGAACCGGTGCGTGTCGTGCGCTTTCTTCTTGCTTCGCTTTGTGTGCCTTTTACCTGCTACGGCCGGTGTGTTTGTTCAGAGTCTGACGTGGCGGATAGTGGTAGAGTCGTGGGTGTTAGTTAGTAGTCGGTGCACGTGACTCGGACAGGAATGTTTCTTCTCTCTCGTTTATTGGGCTTTAAATGGGCCTATATTTTAAAATTAAAGGGCTATATAATAAAATGAATAATAATAAACCGGTTTAGACCAAACCCGGTTTAAATACATTGATTGAGAACCCTATATATAATTATCTTATTAGCTTTAGGGTTTTCTCTCTAACGAGCCTTTCGCAGTTGCAGCATCTCTGTTCCGTTTATCTCGCCGTCGTCAACATGGGGTAATGTTTCATCTCTTAGATCCCTTCTTCTCAATCACATTTAGTGATTATGTAATATGTGTTGCTGAGTTTAGGATTTGTTGTCTGCTAATTCGTCTTCTAGTGATGTGACTCTTACTGTTAGATTTTTAGTTTTGAGTATCTCTCACTTCTTAAATCTCAATAGAAATGGTGATTTGCTTACCAATGTCTAGTTTTACTTTCATCCTCTTGTGGTTTCAAAGCTAAAATTTTTATGACATTGTATCACTGTAAGCTCTTAATATGTTTGGTCTTGTTTGGAAACCTTTGATTTTTAATGTATTGTGGTCTTGTCTTTTAATATCTTTAGTAAGACACGTGGAATGGGAGCTGGGCGGAAGCTGAAGAGGCTTAGGATTAATCAGAGGTGGGCAGACAAGCAGTACAAAAAGTCTCACCAAGGCAATGAGTGGAAGAAGCCTTTTGCTGGATCTTCTCACGCTAAAGGAATCGTCCTTGAGAAGATGTAAGACCTTACTTCACTTGAGCTTAAAATTCCCAATGCTATCTTATTCTCGGTTTGTTTAATATTGATTTTGATTAGTTTTTGTTTGTTAATGATGCAGTGGTATTGAGGCTAAGCAGCCTAACTCTGCCATTCGTAAATGTGCTAGAGTTCAGTTGATCAAGAACGGCAAAAAGATTGCTGCTTTTGTGCCTAATGATGGTTGTTTGAACTACATTGAAGAAAATGTAAGTTTGATGAGAACTGCATCTCAGTGATCAGTTATTTCTTTGTTTATCAATATGGCTGACTCTTTGATGGATGTGTGTAGGACGAAGTGTTGATTGCTGGGTTTGGGCGTAAAGGTCATGCCGTCGGAGATATTCCCGGAGTTAGATTCAAGGTGGTGAAGGTCTCTGGTGTCTCACTTTTGGCTCTTTTCAAGGAGAAGAAGGAGAAGCCTAGGTCTTAGAGACTCTACTGCTTCCCAGGCTTATTTTGTTACTGGATTTTGATATCTGAAGACATTCCTTTGTTCTGCTTAAAGATTTTTCTATAATCTGTTTGGATTCAGTTTACAATTTTAAAAGTATTCTCTCTCTCTGCATTAAAGCTGTCTCATTTCCTCCGCTTTACCAGTCAAAACAGGTTTACATATGACTGTAATAATCTCACTTAGTCACTTGCAACTTCAGGGCAGTCCTAACTTTTTAGGGCTTATTTTAAATAAATTGTAGAGAATTGTAAAAATTAGGTGTTAATTTGTAAAAGAACTAGGCCCATGCTTCCATATTTAATAAATTTGTTGAATAGTTTTTTAAAAAGAGGGGTCCAAGGCCCATGCTTCCATATTGAATAGAGTTGAAGAGTATACTCTTTCTCACCTCGCAGATGGTACTTTGAAGTGTGTTACAAGTTTCAACATAGTTTTTTTTTATTACATCAGTTTCAACATAGTTTAGGACTTTCCATCAACTGAATTGTATTTTATTTCATAGCCCAGTGCATACAGATTACAGAATCCTTTTATTTATGTTTTTACTATAGGTGATTACAATGATAATGGAACAAGATCTACAAGATAGGACATGGTACATGAGACACCACCAGCTTCCAGATTACTCCTTGTCAGCAAACCTGCAAACACGATCCTTTTACTTACACATAAACATACCAAAAATACGTAAGCCTTTGTAGTCGGATTCAGACCAAAAAAACAGATGCTTGTAAGTAAAACTTCTATGAAGACAATAAGAATTGTGTTACTTACCCGAGTTCTGACAACTTGAGATGAGCTTTAGTATAGTCTTCAAAAAAGGCATCTTCATCCTGAGTAATAATACAATCCGTGATAAGGACAAGTGCAAACATAATATGATCATGAGAATTGTATTAACTTACTGCAGCATATCTCTCTACGAGAGGGCGAAAGAGAGGATCCTCAAGAAGAGCCTTGTCGGTTGGAAGTTGAAGAAGTCCTTCTTTCTCTCCGCTTAGTATCTCCCTGTTTTACCAACCATCAAAGAGCTTCTGATTCAGCAATCAGAGCATGTAGAACCTAATGAAGGAGGAGAGAAACTTATCTTACTTGAAATAGGAGTTGTCGAAAATGAGAGGGTTTTGTGTCCATGGTCCCTCGAATCCTGAGCGTTCCTTGTGGCACCGACCCTGAAAATGTAAAACAATGGTAAGTGCCAAAACATAGAAGAGGATTTAGGTCTTTGTTATTTTTTATGATTCAATAAAGATAACATACCAAGGTGTGTCCACCAGACAATGCAACTATATCTTTGTCATCGAGTCCCATCCTACCAAATATCTCTCTCAGATGATCCACGCCTGTGAAAATAGAAAGTGAATGTGTATCCATAATCTGTTGCAATCATTAAGTTATTATTTTCCTTACAACTGATTTTACCTTTGGTGGCCTGAGGTAGACGTCCTTCAGGAGGTGGCTCAACTTTATCCTGCAACACAAAATTTGTATCAGTTAGTCACATGAACAAAGCTTTAGAAGATAGATGAAGCAAACATATTGACTCACCAATCTACCAGGATGAAATGGAATCTCAGGTCCTCCAGTGATCTCAACAGCTACAACTCCAGCTAGCTACAGTAACCAAGAAACATGTTACATTAAATCAAGCCCTTGATGTCATTGTATATACAAGATTAGTGAATAAATTCAAGCAAATACTTTGAAATGTTGTTACCTGGTAGAAATCAGCGTAGGACAAGATGGGGAACATGTCTTTGATAGGCTCAAGAAGCCTGACAGCAATATCAAGACCATTGTTAGCATCATGAGCTAGCTCTTGTGGAAGTCTTATCGTCCCAAACGGTCCTCCTGTCTTTGTCTTCACGTCAAATGTCCCAGCTGAGTGCCATCTGCATATTCATACACACATCAATCATCACTCTTGAGCAAATAACAAACCAAAAAAAAGACATAGAATGAACTGGAACGAGAGAAAATACGCAAGACGGAGGACGATGGGAGCACAATGCTTCTCGGCGATAAGACCACGGAGCTTTCTCTTGCATCTCTGAACAGCTTTCTTGTACTCTTCTTTCACTTCCGGGTAACTCTTCAAGATCTTCTCTTGCATCTCTGAACAGTTTTCTTGTACTTTTTATCTGTATAACCAGAAAACAAACTGTGATCGTTTACGTTACGTTTTGCAATTCAATTTATAGAACTGGGAGATGGTCGAATGAAGCTTCTAGTTTTCAGTTAACTTCTAGAGTAGCCGTGAGATGTACAGGTCAATATGCTTTCTTACTTTGCGCGCCTTCCAGAAACCATGTGAAAGACAATAATGCATATCTTTTCCAGCAGATTCATGCCACGTCACAACCTGTCTTCTTTTTTGGTCAATACTACTTTAATACTGTTTTATTTTTACATTGCAGTTAAGTGGAATCAATAGATCAAACAAGATCTTGTTCAATTAGAATGGTTCTTGTGTTAAAGAAAAGCAGAAATATAACAGAGAGAAAAGTCTTGAACTGACAATAAAAACTTAAACTGTTGTCTTAAATATAGTTGATAAAATACCAAGCATTTGTCTGATAAAAACAAGGTACCAAAAGTAAAAGAGAAATGAAACTTGTTCATAGCTGAGCTTAATCCAACAACTCGAGACCAAAAAAAGATAAAAAACCAAAAACATTCCCTAAACATGAAAGAGTGTTTCAACCACATTGATAATTATTACTGGCTAGCACCGAGCCATTTGGTGAAGTTGTCAAACTCGGTGTAGTCACTGTCGGAGATCATAGTCTGGTACCAAGACTTCCCTGCTGCCTTGATTGCCAATGCCTCCTCCTGACAGATTTTACATAATTCAAACCACAGTTAGAAACACAGACTTTGCACAAGAAAATTTGAAATATCTCAGATTGAACAGAAAAGAGAGAACCTTTTAATTTCTATTGTGTACAAAAACACTAGCAAAGACAAATAATACTACCACAGACATGAGACACACAAACTCAAACCATAAAATCAAGACATTTAGTTACTTAGAAAAAATGAAATATGCAATGCAAGTGACACATATAATAACATTTCAGAATCACTACCAAGAACAATACCAAGAACAAATATCTAAATAAGAGTGGTAAAGAATATCTAACAATCTAACAATAGAATGTGACCACATTATCTCAGAAACCCTATCATACACAACCTCAATCTTACACATACTAACAACAGCAAATTGCAATGTATACACTACTTGCAATCAGATTCCCAACTAAACAATCATAACCCACGATGACAAAGACAAATTAAGTTACCTTGGTGACAGTCTTCCTCTTCTTGGTGAGCTTCTCCTTCTTAGCCTTAACCCTCTGCGCCTCAGCCAACAAAGACATCCTCTTAGCAGTCTTAGCATACGGATTCAACTTCAACATCACGTTCAAATTCTTCAAAGGATTCTTCTTCATCACAGCCCTCTTCGCATCCTTCTTAATCGGCTTCACAACACTCTGCACCTCATCCGAATTAATAATCCTCGCCAAATCAGCATTCACCATCTTCGCCCTAGGCAACACATACCCCTTCTTCTTCTCCGAAGGCTTCTCAAAAGACCCATAGATCCCCTCAAGCTTCTCAAAAGCACTCTTAGTCCATATCACAAACCTCCCTAGATGCCCACCAGGCGCAAGCTTCAACAAATTAAGCCTCTCCACGTGGCAAAGCTCAACACCAGGAAGATTCCTAAACGCCTTCACAATCTTCGACCCTTCATTACCAAACACAACTAAAGGACCTTTCCGACAGATATACCTCCTGTTCCTCATCTTCCCCACACCAGACCTAATCCCAATACTACTCTTCGCCTTCTCAGCATCATCATAAGCACCAATCTCTTTCAAAACCTTGATAGCAGCTGACGTCTTCTCCACGCTTTCAATAGAGTCACTAACCACAAGAGGCAACTCGGGGACATTCTCGATCTTATGTCCACGCGACATCACAAGCGCGGGAACAGCGGTCGCAGCAATAGCAGAGACAATAGCATGTCTCTTGGAGTTCACGTTAACGCGTCTGTGCCAGAGGCGATGTGTCTTGGTCGGAGCGAACATGCGTCCACCACGACACATGTTTCCGAACGCGGCTTGTCCGGCGCGGTGAGTACCGCCGCCGGGGACACGGGGGATACGGGAGACGGCGCGGCCGGTTCCCCAGGACTCGGCGGAGGTCTGGTGACCGGCTTTTTTGGAGACGGCGTAGGGTTGACGGCTGTTGTTGGAGATTTGGGCGTGGGTGTGGCTGACGAGGTCGGGACGGATGGGGGCGGTCATGACGTCGGGGAGGGGGAGGGAGGAGGAGTGGTCGGTGGTCATGTCGCCGTCTAGGGGTTGGACGGTGACGAGAGGACGTGCGGCGGCGGCGGCGGCCATTTCTGTGGTTTAGAGTTTTTTCACTCCCTCTCTCTCTCACAGTCTCTCGACTACTTTCTAGGGTTTTCGCAGCTGGTGGTTAATATAAGTGATATATACTAGGGTTTCTTTCTAGGGTTGTGACTGAATAATGGGCTTTAAAGGCCCAGTTAGGCAGAAGAGTTTATACTTTCTTTATGGCCCATCTGTATCCATAGTTTACTCATATATAAATGGGAGAGGTCTGGTGCTGGGCATTCGGGTTTTCGGTTCGTTGGTTCGGGTTTTCGGTTCGTTGATTCGGATTATTCGGGTTGGGGTGTTTAGGAACCATTTAGGAACCGGGGATTTTTTGGATCGGATCGGGTAGTGTTGAATTCGGGTCGGGTTTCTATTTTTTTTTTAAAACCACAAATGGAACCGAATTAGCAGTAGTTGGGGTTTGGTTTAGGTTTAAAGCCAAAAAACAAAAAAAAAAACCGAAAAACCGAGTTAAACTCAGAAAATATCCGGGTAATTCGGATTTTTGGATTTTTTTATTTAAAGTTTACATTTTATATATATTAAAACTAAAAATAATTAATATTTTTTTCTTATATTTACAATATTCGGGTTCCCGTTCGGTTCACGGTTCGGTTTTGTAGTTTTCGGTCCGGTGTCGGTTTTTTAGGTTCGGTTCCGGTTCGATTATTGGGTTTCGGATAAAATGCCCATGACTAGAGAGGTCAACGAGATGACGTCAAGTGTCAGCGAAGAGAGCCATAATGAATGTTAAGCATGATTTGGAACGTAGACGAAAAGAGAGTGTTGGTAGGTATAGCAGGGAGATGACAATGGTATGAAGAAAACCAAGTAGAAGGTGGGCATAATCTGTTAAGGCAGTGAAAGACTGAACTCAGGCGTGTTCTTTCATGACATTACTAATCAGGACTTGTCACTTCCTGGAACATCACAACACGGTAAATTCTCTGTCGTATAAGTAACCATGAGATGTGTGTGATTCAAGGATTCTTGATCATTTAGTTTGCCAGATTCGAATGATTTTTTTTGGTACTTTGTTTAGGATAATTTGTTAGTAGCATACATGTAGTATATAATCTGATTAGAAGGGCAAAAACCAAACTAGAGATTTACTCAACAGATGAATATATAAACACACAACAATAAAAGTAAAATAAAAAGAGACTTTTGTACAAGAGTTAACCGGCTGCTGAGGATGAGGCTACCTTGCAACCGCAGCTTGAAGGCTAAGAATTAGTAGAGAATGGAAAACTCTTATATATATATAATAAACCTTTACCAATCACTGAACTAGTCCTGATCAAAAACCTTAAGCTCAAAAACTTGACTCATGTGTCTTCTCCTCAAATCAAACAAACCGTATTAAATACCCCCTATACACAATACCCACTTGAAGCATTTGACAAGCTAGTGATTCGCAATGACGTATAACTCAAAAGTTTATTAAACATGGAAACCCGACCGACGAGTAAAACCTGCAACAAACATGGTGAGAATCACATATAACTTTTTCTGTAAGCCGTCAGAAAACTAGCAATAAAGCTTATAATCACCTAACTCTAGCTACTGACTCAGACTACCAGTGAGTGTGACAGAGCGTACTAGTGAGAACTCTATAACTCTTAATGCAAACCATAGAGTAAGAGGGCTGCGACTAGACTTACATCTAAAAGCAGATATCTACCTCTAGCTACTGACTCAGGTGATTCTGTATATTGTTCAAAGTGTTTTCATGTACTCAGTGTATCTCAAAAATGCATGAGGAGAAGATGAAGAAGATTTACTTGATAGCTATAGGAAGATACTTTCGTTAATATGATTTGTTGCTTGTTGAGTTCTGGCCAAAGGAACCAGTGGTAACGCTTGGGAGATCGGTGTTCACCTCATATGACGAGAAAACTTTCCTCTGCAGCATCATTACAGTCGGACTAGCTAAGGGTAATAGCCACCAACTATATAAAAAGAAGTGAAACCAACTATTTGACTTTGAAGAGTGTAACGGTTAAAACACTAACAAATTCATGGTAAATGTAACACTTACAGCGGATTCGAACTCAGGGTTTGATAAGTTAACTGCGAGGTTCCTCATCAATAACAGAACCTGCAAAACAGTTCTGCTATTAGTGAAGAAAATTTGGAAGCTTGTACATCAAGTAAGCTCTAACTAACAGTCTCAAAATTTATAGGATCCATTTCCTTAAGCTTTTCCACATGGCCTCTCGTTTCAGGATCAAATACACTTCCTATGAAGCTATAAACTTCAGAAAAATCAGGAACGCCTGCAAATAAATCATCAGTCTACACATAGTTTGAAAAACAAGAACAGAACAAGAAACTGTTCACAAGTGATTACCATGAAGCACTGGAGGTTGTTTTGCTACAATCTCAGAACTTGATAATGTTCGGTTTGAGCTTCCCATACCAGATGTCGAAGGGCTACTAACATTTAATATACCCTTTGGTCCAATATCAGCTGAATCAGTGGCGTTATATGCCATAAATAAGCACATGAAACGTCCTAACATGAAGCGCTATTCTACTACCAAAAAGAAGAGAGAAAAAAAACAAAGTGAAACACACAGACAAAAGAGCGTGCCTTGTGCTCCACGAAGAGTAGCAAGTTCTTGCTTTGGTGAAATAACTCTGTTTAGCAGCATTGATGCGTCATCCCAAGAAGTTGAAACTTGAAGTTGCAGTTGAGCTGTGTAAAAAAATGGATTAAAAACTCAGGTAATAGTAACTGAATATTCATAATCTTTGTAGCCAACTTAACAAAGATTACAAAAACTATCGAAACCGTTCTTAGATGCTTTCTGAGGATATGGATGAGCTGCTTTGCGCTTATGCCGAGGAGGTGGCACATGTGCTAGTGTCCCATTTTTCTGAACCTTTAGAAAGTATTTTTGAGCATGACTCCTTATCTATAGTAGAATCAAGAAGTGGTGAATAACTTGAAAACGTGTCAAAGTAAATTAAACCAAAACTTATTAGAGTAGACTATTATAAAACCTGAATCACAGTCTTGGAACCCACGAAATCTTCTATCTTCTTCCAGTCACGATCAAACCTAAGGAACAGAGGCCAGTACTATCAGTTAATTCAGATTAAAAGGACTAAAAAAAATACCACAAAGTATAATGTTTTCGAGAATACAGAGTTTATTATATATTATTCAGCACAGCTTGAGCATTACATACAATAACAACTCAGACCTAACATATATACTCTTGTTTGGTTCAGTCTAGGTAACTAAACTCAGAAATGAGTAAGAAAGATTAGAAAGTTTTAAGACTCTTTTAAGCACATGTAAATAATAACATGTTAAGGAGAAAACAGAGCAATAAAAACAGTTGAGATGATTTATACAGTTGAAGCGCTTCAAGAAACTTATCGTGCTCTTCCTCTGTCCAGCTCTCCCTAGACTTGGTGATGGTATAAGGTTTCCTCACCTTCTTCGAGGAGCCCTCCACCACCGCATCAGTCGATGGTGGTGGTTCGGCGGACGTAGGATTCCTTAACGGTGATGAGCTCATTGTTTTAGCTCAGATAGTGACAGTGTTTAGACTTTAGATAGAGAAAAGAGAAAAGTTTACATGGCGGGGAAGAAGTTGTGTAGTGAAAAAGTAAAAATATGCGAAGTGGGTTTTGCGTTGTTCCAAAAAAAAAAAAAAAAAAATTGTGAAGTGGGTTTTGCTTTGATTCTACACCATCCATTTTTTTTATTTTTCATTATTTTATTTTGTTCCTGTCACTTCTTGATTTTAGAGCCCCAAGCTAAAAGTCACGTGGGGACATGGCTGCAGTCTTCGTTTTCTTGAAATTGTATGGTCGTGCTTTTTATTTATTTTGTGATTTCTATAATTGGTGTAGAAAATGACTTGTACCCATCCAAACAAACCAAACCAATCACCAAATAAATCGAAATGAAATAATTATTCAAACATGAGACTTCAAAATTACAATTGACTCAAATAGAACATAAATTATAAAATACAAATAAAGCAAGAAGTCGATATGTCCGAGTGGTTAAGGAGACAGACTTGAAATCTGTTGGGCTTCGCCCGCGCAGGTTCGAACCCTGCTGTCGACGTTGATTTTTTCTTTTCATAAATAAAGTTGCCTTAGCCCATCTGTTTGCCACATTCGAGCTGCAGAAACAAACGATGTGTTGGTCTTTCCATAGTGGTTGATTGGCCCGCGACTGTAGCCCAAGCCCATTGTGCATACGCTTGATGATGTCAATGATAAAAGAAATGGTTGGTATTTGGTAAGAAAGGAGAAAATGTAAAGCGTTTGTTGCACCTGTCTTCTTCTTCTTCTTCTGTATCAACTGTATAAAAGTATAGGTAACTTTAACGAAAACTGTTTTAGTTATAACTTTTAAGAAAAAGAGTTAGGTGAGGATGTAATCACGTTATGACACTTGTGAAGGTTGCTTATCATTTACATCTCTAAAGATTGATATCAATTAGACAAGCGGCGTTTACACTTTCTTTCAATAGCTTTCCTTAATATAGAGATTAAGAAGTTGTTTTGAATTATTGTATCCATATAATTTTGATGCAACTTTTTTGTTTTTGATGTAATAATATTTTCTTCTAAAAGCCTTTTTCCCTACAACTATATTCTTATTCAGTATTTAGTTAGACACACCAATAAATTGAAACGCTTGATGATGTCTATATACAAAAAACAAAGCATATGTTCTTTTTCTTCAACAAACGAAACATACTAGTTCAATGATTGTAAGAAAAAAATTTGCATGTATATATATTATATTTTGCCTTTTAAAAGTGTCCTATATAGTTTTGGATCGCGATGTAAACAAGCAAAAACGATCTTTTACGTATAAAAAAACGAATATCCCACTAATATTCTATTGTGTGGATCACCATATTGTAATATTCCCACAACTATCCATTTCTATACGAAACTCTATCTATATAATATGTCAAATGTTTCTTGTTTATATAATTTTATAAAAAAAACTTTATTACATAGTATTACATAGTTAACGACTGCCTTCTTTATCATTGAATTGATCTTCCAATACGAATTTTTCCTCTTAATTCTAATTATGAAATTTTTTAATTTATCTGGGAGTTATAAATGAGAAAAAAAAAACACGAAAACAAGGAATCTTACAGTACAAAATTGACATACTTGCCCTTATTTCATCAAACAATTTGTAATTTGTGATCAATAAATATTTTCAGATGGCAAAAAAAAAAAAAAAAAAAAAAAAAAAATCCGGTTTATTTATTTATCTTC